AGCAACGCATCGTCCTCGAAACGAGCTGGGAAGCTGTTGAGAGCGCGGGCATCATTATGGAGGACTTCAAAGGCTCAAACACCGGTATATTCATTGCGATGTTCGGCCACGATTACGAACAAACCTCATTCAAAGACCCGGTGTCGCTCACACAATGGCACAATCTTGGTGTTGCTCGTCCATTGCTGGCTAACCGAGTCTCCTTTGTTTTCGACCTAAGTGGTCCTTCTGTAATGCTCGACACAGCCTGCTCTGGCAGTCTTGTAGCAGTCAATTCAGCGTGTCAGAGTCTTCAAGCCGGTGAAGCAACAATGGCACTGGCTGGGGGGGTGGGACTTATCTTTAGTCCGGACCAGATGGCACTTATGAGTTTAACTCAGCTTTTCAACGGCGAGGGAAGAAGCTATACATTTGATGATAGAGGCAATGGATATGGTCGGGCAGAGGGCGTCGGCGTTGTTCTCCTCAAGCGACTAGATGACGCCATTCGGGACGGCGACAGCATCCGCGCTATTATTCGCAGCTCTGGAGTCAATTCGGACGGCCACACTAAGGGTATCACATTGCCTTCACAAAAAGCACAAGAGAGACTGGCGCGATCTGTGTTCCATAACTTGACCTTTGGTCCGGCAGAAGTGCAATATGCCGAGGCGCATGGTACCGGCACTAAAGCAGGTGACGCCGCTGAGATTGGAACTGTGCGGAATGTCTTCTGTGAGAACAGGCTCAAGGAAGAGCCACTATATGTTGGGGCAACCAAACCAAACATTGGGCATTCTGAAGCCGCCAGTGGCGCCGCTGGACTGATCAAGGTGGTGATGGCCATGGAGAAAGGGTTGATCCCGCCGCAGTTGCTGCTTGAGAATTACAAGCCTGGCTTAGAGCCTGATCCCGAAAAGTGGAATATGAAAATTGCACAGGAGCTTACAAAATGGCCAAAGATCTCAGACACAAGGAAAGCCGTTGTGAACAGTTTTGGCTTCGGTGGAACGAATGCTATGGTTGTGCTAGAATCTCCCAGTAGTCACCTACACCTTGACGGGTCTAAATATCCAAACAATGAAGCTATGAACGGCATCTCCCATGGCATCAGTTGTACTGATGTCATAGGTGAGAATCCTCATCGACTTTTCACTTTGACAGCGAGATCTGAGCACTCGCTTCAACATGCTCTAAGCGACCTTAGAGCATACTTAGAGAATCACAAACATGTCAACTTGAACGACCTCTCATACACACTAACAAGCCGTCGATCCAGCTTTCAGTGGCGCTTAGGCGTAGTTGCGAACAATATCGAGTCTCTTGCGCGGAGCCTTGAAAGTAAAAGCTTTCCCTTGATCAAGGCCTCTAGCCATGTGTCTAATGTTTTCGTGTTCACGGGCCAAGGCGCTCAATGGGCTCGCATGGGTTACGATCTCGTCCTAACAGAAAACGAGTTCTCAAGATCAATACGTCGCTCAGAAGAGATTTTGAGAGGTTTGGGGGCTCAATGGAGTCTTCTCGATGAATTGTCGAAGGGAGAATCGGCCAGTCTGATCAATCACAGCAGATACGGTCAGCCAGCTAGCACTGCTGTACAGCTAGCGCTGGTAGATTTGCTCAAAAGCTGGAACGTAGTACCAACCGCAGTCATTGGACATTCAAGCGGCGAGATAGCAGCTGCATATGCTGCTGGAGCTATTTCACAGGATGCCGCCTTGCGCACCTCGTATGAACGTAGTTTCCTAGCTGAACAGACAAAACAGCTGAACTCCCAGCCAGGTGCAATGATGGCAGTCGGACTCAATCAAGAAAGTGTGGCAAAGTACATTAAGCTTCTTGACCCTTGCCATGGTCAGGTTGTGACAGCATGTATCAATAGTCCATCGAGTACGACAGTCTCAGGCGATTTGAAAGCTATAAGCGAATTGAACAAGGCATTTGATATAGACGAAGTATTTGCCCGTCGGCTCAAAGTCGATACCGCATATCATTCTCACCACATGCAAGCTGTCAGCGACATTTATCTATCAGCATTAGACGGACTCCAATCTTGCTCGGCTTGTCCCACAACCCGATTCTTTTCAACCGTCACAGGCGAGGAGAAAGCGGAAGGTTTCGGTGCTTCCTACTGGGTTAGCAATCTTGTCTCCAAGGTTCGCTTTTCCGATGCATTACAACACCTCCTTCAAGCCATAAGCAACATGGGACCTATCAACTTGATTGAGATCGGTCCCCACAAAGCTCTTGCTGGCCCGGTTAGCCAAACGCTTTCATCACAAGCGAACCTTTCGCCATGGACATACATCCCAACTCTTCTGCGTGGTGAAAATGATGGATTTTCCGTCCTCAAGACGGCAACAGAGTTGTTTACGTCTGGATCCGGTATCTCCATCAACAAAGCCGCTTGTCTGAACTTCTCCACAAGCTCGCCACATCTCCTTCACAATTTACCACCATATCATTGGGATCATACCGCCACATATTGGACCGAAAGTCGTCTTAGTCGCGAACATCGGCACCGCCATCACGCCCATCATGACCTCCTTGGCTCGCGAATCACTACTTCGCCTGCAGATCAACCCAGCTGGCGTTTCATGCTACGGACTGATCGCATACCATGGTTGCGAGACCATATTGTGGATAATTTCATCGTCTTTCCGGCTGCTGGATACATGACTATGGCAATTCAGGCCTTGAGCCAATTATTGGCAGATCGTGAGCAATCAGGTACTCCGGTGAAAGGGTATAGATTGCGGAATGTGAGCTTCAAAAAGACGCTGACGATCTCGAAGGAGTTAAGCAATGAAGGGGTTGAAATTGTCACTACGCTCAGGTGGAACGAGATGGGCAACAGTTGGGACTTCACAGTTTTCTCTATGTCAGAGCAAGGGAAATGGCAAGATCATTGCGATGGAAACATTTCAACCGCGTTTGATGGTAGCCTCTACGAGCTCGACCGCATCAGCGAGTTGGAGTATGGTCAGAGGTTGCAAAAAGAGCATTTACAAGAAGCACAGGAAGCCTGCACCAGGATCCTTTCTCACCAGGAGATGTATGCCGAGATGGCAGCGACTGGAAACCAATTTGGGCCTTGTTTCTCCATCAACAAGGAGGCTCGATTATCTGAGTATCAATCCATCAACATCCTCGAGATACCGGACATCAGCGCGGTCATGCCCTTACAATTCCAAGAGCCTCACATCATCCACCCCGCGACCCTGGACGGTGTAATCCAGACCTGTTTGCCGCTGTTCAAACAACATTCAGTCCCTGGATCAGTTATGCCATTGTTCATAAGCGATACATACATAACAGCTGCCATCACCCGCTCACCAGGCCAGAAACTCTCAGTAGTATGCGACCTCCAAAACACCTTCCCGCACTCAACAAACTTTAGCACTGCCGTGTTTCAGACTGATGAAAATGAGCAGCTACAGTGTGTGATTACAATGACCAAGGGAGAGATCCGGATCGTGGGCGAAGCTTCGTCTTCAGTGAAAGCTGCCAGCGACAATGTTTTCAAACTACAGTGGGGCCTTGACGCTGATTCTGTCACAGCATCAGCACTCGAATCTGTCGTCATCCCCCTCCAGTCTGATGAAGCTGGCATCACGCAAGCCCAAAAAGTACACCTCATATCCGTTGCGTGTGCGCGGTATATTGACTGGGCCGTGCGAGAGGTCATTGACAACAAATTGACTGTCAAGGATGATCATCGAACCAACTGGTGGAAAGTGCTGCTCAAATACCATGCTTCAGAAGAATGCAGAGCCCTCATAAACAGCAGTCCAGATACCCAACAGGAATTAGACAAGCTGACATCGAGGCTGGGGATTGAGGGTGAGGCTGTGGCACGTATTGGACCGGAATTAGTTGCACTCATCACAGGCAGAACGGACCCGTTGACCCACTTCCTCAAAGATGACCTCTTGTTTAGGGTATATCATTCCGATGAAGCGGCACGTCCAAACCGGTACATGGCCGACTACACCCGCATATTGACCTTTCAACGACCCAGGATGCGCATTCTTGAGCTTGGTGCTGGCACGGGTGGAACGACTTTCCAGATCCTAAGGCAATGCAGCCCTAATGGGCAACAGTTCTGCGCTGAGTACATGTACACAGATATCTCGTCTGGCTTCTTTGAAGCTGTCAAAACTACTCGTCTCAGAGACTGGGCGCATCTGCTCACCTTTCAGACATTGGACTTGGAGAAGGATCCTTCTGAACAAGGGTTCGAAGAGGGTGTATACGACCTCGTTGTTGCCGCAAACGTAGTACATGCGACTAGGTCCTTGGGCAGGTCATTACAGACAATCCACCGCCTCCTTAAACCCGGTGGGATGCTGGGCCTTGTGGAGCTAACGCGGACGACTCCTTACATAAACATGACTTTCGGCTCGATACCCGGCTGGTGGGCTGGCACGGGAGAAGGGCGGACGGAAAGTCCTTTGCAAAGTCCTGAACAGTGGAATGAAAGGCTAAAGGCCGCTGGTTTTGGAGGTATTGACATGACGGCGTATGACTTGCCGGAGCCAGAGAGACATTCCGTACTACTCTTATCTACGCGATTACATGACAACAGAGAAAGCCAAGGTGTTTATACCCCTGGAAGTAATCTACAAGTCTTGTCGACGCTACCAAACGGTCATCCCGGCAAAGCTATTGTGGCTTCACTCAAAAGCAAGCTGTTGAGTATTGGATTTCAAGTATTTGATGGAAATTGGCTTGAGGAAGGGGTTGATGAATCGATCTCTTACCTGATTATCGACTCAGCAGACCATCACCTCCTCCAGAATTCTACGCCTAATCAATTTTCCCGGATCACCTCACTACTTACAAAAGCCAGGAAAGTCTATTGGATCACCCTCGCGGACACTCAAAGCGCTATCGTCCCAGGTAATGCATTGACAACCGGGCTCTCCCGCACGGCCCGCAACGAGAATCCTCAACTCAATTGCTTCACCATTGACGTGCAAGCCTCACTTACCAAAGATGCAGATAGAATCAGCTATGCCATGACCAAATTCATTTACAGCACCGAATTCAAGAAAACAGCTTGTAAGGCTCTCGAATTCGAGCTCATGTATCGCAACAATAAGATGCATATCCAACGATTCGTTGCTGACACTAAGCTTCTCGACGCCATGTCCACAAATGAGGAGCGCCGAATCTTGGAAACTCCCTTCCACCAGACTGAACGATCCTTCAAGATCCACGTTGCCAAGCCCGGTCTCCTTAATAGTCTCGTCTTCGTTGATGATCCAGCTTTCGTTACGGAGCTCGATCCCGATGAGGTCGAGATCAAAGCTCATGCCTTCGGTCTCAACTTCTCAGACGTCTTCATTGCCCTAGGCCAATTGCCACCAACACAGCCTATGGTTGGTGAGTGTGCTGGGTTTGTCACACGCGTTGGTACCAACTTTAGCTCGAACTTCAGACTAGGTGATCGGGTCTCGGCCATGTTTGCTACACCGTACGCAAGTCGGGCACGCGCAAATGGGCATTTGGTGCATGAAATTCCCGAAACAATGAATTTCGTGAACGCCGCAAGCATACCACTCGCCTATGGCACCGCGTGGTATGCCCTCATAGAGTGTGCGCATCTCGAAAGTGGGCAGACTGTCCTCATTCACGCTGCCTCAGGTGGCTTAGGACAGGTGGCGGTCAAGATAGCGCAATCCCTTGGGGCAACAGTCTTTGCAACGGTAGGCAATGCCGAGAAGAGGCAGCTGCTGATCGACCAGTACAATATCCCTACCGGTAACATATTTAGCTCCCGCACAACAGCGTTCGCAGCGGGCATTAAACGACTTACCAAAGGTCGAGGCGTCGATGTAGTACTGAACTCACTCTCTGGCCCCATGCTACAAGCCAGTTGGGAGGTTATGGCTCCGTTCGGGACCTTTGTCGAGGTGGGCAAGACCGACATCTACCGTCGCTCCCATTTGGCCATGGAGCCCTTCCGGAACAATCTGAAGTTTGCCAGCATTGATCTTGTGCTCCTTGCGCAGCAACGGCCAGCCTATGTGGCTAAGATGCTCCAGGAGATCTGGGACGATATTCGAGCTAGCAGGCTCTCAGCGCTGCCGGTGACATCATTCCCGATCGGCGAGGTTGAGAAGGCGTTCAGGCTTATGCAGAACCGGGGTCACACGGGCAAGATCGTTCTGGAAGCGGACGAGAATAGTAAAGTGGTAGCCCGGACTGCCGAGCTGAGGCTAAGAGCGGATGCGACCTATGTCATTGTGGGTGGTCTTGGGGGACTAGGAAAGCTCATCTGTCGTCATCTTCAGCTGAGAGGGGCGAGACATGTGGCTCTATTCACGAGGCAGACACTGGATGCTCTGACTAAAGCGGAAATAGAGGCAGGACTCACAGTTGAGGCAACCGGTGCAGCAGTAAGGATCGTGACTTGTGATGTCACGGACACAGCGGTCGTAGCGAAGGTAGCCAATGATTTGCAAAAGTTAATGCCCCCAGTCAAAGGGATTATCCATGGAGGAATGATACTAGCCGTAAGTTTTGCAGTCCCGACACATGTTTGGGTTGTTCTTATTCGATTACTAAATTATACGGTAGGACAACCTCATCTCCAAAATAAGTCAAGCCGACTTCTTTACGGCTTTGGCTCCCAAAGTTCGAGGCACTAACAACCTCCATGCCGCCTTCCCGGTCACGGATCTTGACTTCTTCATTCTCATGTCTTCCTTATGCGCTATTATTGGCACTCTTGGACAGTCCAACTACGCCTCTGCAGGCACCTACCAAGATATGTTTGCACATGCTCTGGTCTCTGAAGGTCACACCAATGTCGTGACTATCGACTTCCCACTTATTCAAGACACCTATCCGGTCACGCAAGACCGAATTCTATCTCTAGGTCGCCAAGGTTGCCAGTATCTTGATGTGGCAACCGTCTGGCCGGTTCTCGACTACGCCATGAGCGGCGCAGCAGGACGAGATGGGAATAACCAGCTTGCCTGGGGCCTGGACGCGCAGAGCTTCCTCAGTCAAGACGAGCAGGGAACGCGTGTCCCGCCTCTGCTTGAAAGCATTGTAGCCCACAAACTCAGCACCCATGCAATGAGAGACAGTGGCCAAAATCCTCCGAAGCGCTCAGTCGAGGACGAGATTGCGCATGCCAAGACGATTGAAGAAGCAGAATCGTTGGTGCTAGAGACAATTCAAACCAAAATCGCCTCACTTACCGCACTAGATCTGGCGGATTTAGATATTGATACGCCTGTGGCAAACATGGCTCTCGACTCGCTAGTTGCCACAGAGATAAAGAATTGGATCACCAACACACTACAGGCACCTCTACAGACGAGCGATATTATGGATGCATCGAGCTTGAGGAGCCTGGCGGGACTCGTGACGACGGTGTCGAAGCTTGTGAAGCCCAATATGAAAGATAAAGTAGATACAATTCGGGTGGTCGAAAACCGTGAGCAAAAGGACAGGAAGAATGGGGCAGAAGTCGGACTACCCAAGTACCCACTACCACCACTGGAGACGACATTCGAGATCTTCTTGGACTCTGTGTCCCATCTAGGCAATGCTGCCGAGCTGGAAGAGACAAAGAAGGCCATCGATCAGTTTATTTTGCCTGGTGGCGTTGGGCAGCGGATGCAATCTCGACTCCAGAAGCTCGCTACAGAGGATACGCGAATGGATGAGGTGGTTGATATGTATGTCCGCAACAAGTGGCTTCGTGGGCGAGATTGGAGACCAAGACTGCGTAACTTCTTTGCCACATTACCACTCACCGAGAACCCACAAACACAAGCCGAAAGAGCCGCCCAAATTGTCCTGGCTGCTTATGCTTACAAGCGTACCTTGGATGAGGGGACGGTGCAGGAAGAGTTTCTTGGCGATGACGCACTCTCGATGGACACGATATACTGGCTATTCAACTCCAATCGGACACCCATCTTAGAATGTGACAGACCTGATAGGTACCCTGGAAATGATTTCATCGTCGTCATGCGGAAGGGCCACGCATGGAAAGTTGACATAACCACAGATGGGAAAGATACTCTGAAGTCTGGCCAGCTGAAGGAGATTTTCCATGTAATTCAACAAGAGCGTCTCGAAACTGTGAATTGGGCCAGTCTTCTAACTACAGCGGACCGCGACGAGTGGGCTCAGGTAAGCGACCACACCCTTATCTCTGACAATTCACTAACTATAGGTTTTTTTTCCTTAGGCTCGTGAGGAAGTCATGCTCACGAGTAAAGCTAACGCGCATTTCATCAATACCATAGAGAAATGTCTCTTCATTGTCTACCTAGAAGACAAATCTCCCAGTTCAGCAACAGAACGCGCAGAATGCTTCCTGTTAGACAACAACTCAAATCGCTGGCTTGATAAGACGCTCTCATTCGTCGTCTGCGCCAATGGAATCTCTGCCATTTTCGGCGAACACACCATGGTCGACGGCACCACATTTGGAGGACTGATTAATGCCGTCACCTCTGCACCTATCATTGAAGAAGATACACGGCATGAAAACACCGTATATTCAAAATCATCTTTGAAAGACAAGATGACATACCTACCCTTCGCAATGCCCGCATCTTTGGACAAGTATGTGCCCCACCTCCTTTCAGCACACATTGCCGCCCATAAGGGTTACAACCTCTGCAACTACGAGCTTGACTATGGCAGCGCGTATCTCCGTCGGCATAACCTGCCTCCGAAGAGCGTAAGCCAGCTGCTCATCCAGCTCGCTGTGCGGCGGCAACTTGGCTACAATCCACTGGGAGCTGTAGATGTGATCTCACAAAGACCATTCAGGGGTGGGCGAACTGACATGATCTACGTCATGACACCGCCTGTGCAGGCATTCTGTGCTATAGCAGAAGATCTTTCAGTACCTATAAGCGAGAGAAGAAAGAAGTTCCTGGAGGCTATCAAGTCTCACGCACGATTGACGACGTTGTCCACTCGCGGCAGAGGTTTTAGGTGGACCTTGATGGCCCTAAAGGAAATGAAGGAGGAACACGAGGAGTTGCCTGCCTTCTACAGTGATACTTTGTATCAAAAAACAAACGAGCGCCCCGTGTGTACAAGTTTCACGGAATTTGGGCTACCAGAGATGGGGCGGTGTCAGCCTAATCACGAAGATATTTGGGTCGGGTGTCAAGTCTTTGACGAGAGTGTGAGGTTCACTGTTATTGATGGTGTCGGTGGAAGTGAAAAGTTTGCAGAGAATCTAAGAGAGGTAGGCATTGCAATGAAGGGCATTGTCGAGTCTGTCGTGGGGAGAAATGAGGCTGAATGGAAAGAAGCGCTCTATGGCGATATTAGAGGCGGGCTAGCATTTTAAGGCATCTCACTAATATCTCTCTATTGTTCAAATTTATATAACATTATTTGGAGGCTGGTGTAATCTTGGTTATCTGGAACTTAGCTCATACGAAATGATTCGGGTTCAACTAGTCAAAGCACACAGCGACAATAGCAGCTCCTAATCCAATTTGACAATTTGCATCTCAGCTGAGCCGCTATTATATCTATCTCTGTTACGATAATTGCTACTGCCGTCTACTAGTCTCAAACTAGAGTGACCGTCTCCCAAGCGCTGATGTTTTTGATCATCTCGTCCGCTTCTTTACCCTCGCAGAACAGCCACCCAACCCTTTTCCACTCCGAGACGCTGTTCTCTGATGCAGGTATCACAGCTAAGCCATAGTAAAAGTCCACAGCTCCATCTGCTTCTGACCTGTCGGGAGTTTCTTCCGACTTAGATTCATCATCGGAATCCATATTACCGGAATCTCTAATTCCGGCCAGTATGAGAATATACAGCTTCCATTTGCGCCAATTTCCCGAAAGTTTGGCATCCTCGTGATCTAGCGACAATGAGAAGATTTCTTTTTGACTTTCCGACCTTGCTAAGCGTACAAGTGTTCGTGGAGGCAGTCCTGCTCGGATGCGTCTGTTTTCTTCTTCGTCTGAGATGTTGCTGCTCTCGCCTGGTATAAGCTGGGCCATGGGAGCATGAAGTTGGATCCAGGCGCTTTTTACAGCCCCGTAAGGATTCTCTTCGTCCTGAAGCTCTAAATGACGACCCTTCACTCTGGCAAGTTTCTCCCAACGTTCATCGTCCCAACTGATGGCTGCGATCCCAGCGTAACTGGCCCAACTCCAACTAGGTCCAACGTACTCAGTCGTAGACATCGGCGCCCGTGTTCCTATGCACTGCCATGTGAGGCCTTGGACGAGTGCGTCACTCCACAATCCGGCCACATAGCTTGCACGAAATCGTTGGGCAAATAGCTTGGCGAGCCCGCTCATAGCGGGTAGTTTATCCGTAGCATGCGTCAATTTGCGCACGCCATAGTCCCACAGCAATTTGTTCCACAGATCACGGTCCTCGCTGATGCTTCTTTCGGGGTTCTGTCTTAATCTAATGGTACGACGACCAAAACCCGGTGAGGAACTGAAACCATCTTCGCTCACACGGCCCGCGTTGCATTCGAAATAGATCTGTGTCTTAGTAAAGTACAGAGCGCGAGTGGCAAGGATGGTTTCCTGAAGGGCCCAACCGCGCTCGCTGAGCGGTTCCCCTTCAAAGTCCGACAACCACGGACTTTCATTCTCATTGTATACCAATTGCGCGCAGATCTCGCCTATGTTGGGAATCGAGACAACTGAACTTGGACGGTGTGGACGAGCGTGAAAGCACCCGACGTTACTATCGGCAGCATGGCTAGCAGCAATTACCACGTATGCATTGGAGTAGACCGCAGTCATATTCGACGACTCGCGCGCCCAGTCAGCTCTATCATCCTGGTAGATGCAGAGACTGTCGATCCAAAGAAAGCGAATTCTCAGGTGTCTAGCTATGACAACAGCATCATGAAACGTTCTGGGAAGCTCCGAGATTGGGATCCCAGACATCCGAGCCTCGCGACTCTGCAAAGTCGTCGTGAGAGGTATAGAAGAGCCCCAACAATGTGACAGAGATGCATATTTCCCTTTCGAGCCAGCTTCTGGCTCTACTAGCTTAATAATGTCACCATCTGAGCCCACATCTAGCACACGCGATGGAAATAGGGCATCACTGCCAGGGCAATTCTCATGATCATTCGCGCAACCATCTACCCATGCAGCCGCAACGTCAAGGGTTTGCAATAACCCAGAATTTCTTTGGACAGGCCTGAGAGGAAACCGATGAGCTAAGGGATGGTCCGCGATAACACTGAAGCTGATTCCAGTGAGCATCACAAAAGATTGATATGAATTTGGAGTCCGGGCCAAGACGGAGAATCCATCATTACCTCCAAATCTTTTGGAAATCCAAAGCACCTGACCATGGGGAATCGGCTCAGTCTCTTGGCCATACTCGACAAAAAATGCGTCCGTCATTACAGCGTTCTGGTAAGTATCTAGCCAGATCTGTACGCCATTCTGGAGGAGGGCGCAAATTGGGCAGCCCAGCCTCGCCGAATTAGCGAGTGCATCCAAACTCTCTTGCCACGAGAATCCGAGAGGGCCACCTCGGTCGTGATCCTGCCGCTTTTCAAAGAACCTTGGTAGGTTTGTTCTATCGGCTATGCGAGCTTTTGAACGGATCTTGGGAAACTCTGGGAGATTATCGAACGGTATGCGCAGACAGTTATCACAAAGCGCCATGCTAGACCTGATGAGTGGAGAGCCAACCGTATACAAGTGATGCCTGCTGTCACAGCTCCTGCCAGCTAGAGTATATTGGCGACGGAATGGACGAAGAGACAGTGGTGGTGTCTTCGACTAAAAGCATGCAGTGAGGAGAGGTTGCACATTTACGCGTAGTTCCAGGGTCTGTGGGTGAGAGCATGTAAGCTTATGACGTGCATATAGCCGCGTTATCTCGCTTGGCGGACTCCAAAATTGCCGGATAATAAACTGGTTGGTTTTGAGTCTAGCGTGTTTGCACGTGTTGAACTCTCCAGAATTCCCTGTGTTATCGCTAATGCTCGCTGTTTCGAGTTATTCCAATCGTTATCTGAGAGTTGTGCTTGAATCAACTCGCTATGCCTTGGATCTAATTGCGTTAAATCATCACTTTTACTAGTCTTTTCTTCCCTGCTTGTGCAGTGCAACCTCGACATGAACTATCATTCGCAGGAGGATTAGGCAGCCGAGATGATTAGGCATCATTGGCGAGCACAAATATGTCATATCAGATTTAATGTGTAGACCTTCTTTACGTCTGGCTAGTTAATACTCGTATGAAGAAGGTCAGATTTTCCTTTGAGATCGGAGGTCGGAGATACGCTACACGCCACCGATCTCGCACCCCATTGAAAGTGGGCTCATCCAACAGGATCGCCCAACTGTCTCCATCCTTCTTCAGTCATCGCTAAATCCGAGAAATGAGCGCGCAAGACGAAAACAAGCCGCACGTCGTCGTCGTCGGCGGCGGAATCGTCGGTGCCTCTATAGCATGGCATCTCACGCGCCAGAACGCCTCTGTGACTATCGTTGCCTCTGACCTTGGCGGCACCGCTACTCCAAACTCGTTTGCTTGGCTGAACGCTAGCCGGCACAACCCCAGATTCTACTATGATCTCCGACGACGGTCCATGGTGCGTTGGAGAGAGCTTGCTGATGAGGTGCCTGGTTTAAAGGATTTGGTCCAGTGGTGCGGGACAGTAGAATGGGACCTCTCGCGTGATGAACTTGCCAACTATGAGAAGCAGCACAGCGCCTGGGGCTACGATATTCACCGTGCAGAACATAAAGAGATTGCGGAGCGCGAGCCGTACCTATCCGAGGACGTTATACCTGAATGGGGACTGCGCATCGGCGAGGAGGGTGCTGTTGAGGCGGCCGATGCGGCTTCGCTGCTGATAGCCCAGGCCGAAGCTCAAGGGGCTCGCGTCCTGTCTACGACTGTCACTAACATCACGAAAAGCGAGAATAGTATTCATGGTGTTACGACCGCTTCTGGTGAGAATCTCTCCGCCGATCATGTTGTATTGGCGGCAGGCGTGGGCAGCACCGAGCTTTGCACTTCTGTTGGGGTCACTTTACCAGTCACTGGTCGATCTGGCCTACTTGTTCACTCCAAGCCGGTGGCACATCGTATTTTAAATGGGCTTATCATCTCTGATGGGCCTCATATGCGACAAACAGCTGCTGGACGTGTTGTGGCAGGAGCGGGGTTTGCTGGAGGCGACCCGGGCGAGGACCCTCAGGTGACATCTGACAAGTTGTTCGCTAAGGTGAAGGGGATGTTCAAGCCAGAGGCCAATGGTGTTGATACACTGGAGTTAGACTTCTTCACGGTTGGTTATAGGCCTACGCCCTTGGATGGACTGCCGATTCTAGGTGCAAGTGGGCTGAAAGGGCTTACACTCGCCGTCATGCACTCGGGTGTTACTCTTGCCGCCATTGTGGGCGAAGTGCTGGCAGATGAGATCGTTCATGGAACGAAGGATCCCGCGCTTGACGCCTTTGCACTAAGCCGTTTTAACTAGAGTAGCTATTCGCCTCTTTGAAAAGCACTAGATCCATTCTCAATAGTATCTACGTGCGTTCAAGCAGTGGAACATAAATCATCAATCTCACAAGTCGATGAAAAGCATGATACAACCCAACGGGACCTAAAATATAGGCTAATTTCTTTATGTCTATCCTTCATAGAACCTTCAGAGGTAATCCCCCCCCCAGATATTGTCCAGCAACAAGAATAGGTAGATCGATAAACTACAAATTGGTCCAGGAAACTGAGACCAGTTATGACTATGAGCTCCAAGGGTAGGCAATATAGCTAGACTGCGGTTCAGCTGTTCAGTTGTTGCCTGAACTGTGTCACTTATTTGTTCCGGTTATTGAACTTTGGACATGTGTTCAGTGCACCGGTCTCGGAATACAAAGAGAAGAAGAGAAACTTGGGTTCTGTCATGAATAGGTAACGGGCAATTACTAAGACTTTCGAAAACCCCAGGATTTTGTTTTTATATAGTATTTGTACGTGGTCGAGTCCTTGAATGAGGATGATCCACCTCCCGACCCTGAAACTCATTACTAAATAGGTTTAGAATGATAACTATATCAAACATTGCCTTTCAACCTTTACTCTAACAGAATTGCGAAGAAATCTTATCTCATAATTGCGATTGTTGAGCAGGAAATGAGGTCTTCAGTATGTTAGAGACTAGTGCTGGGGAGGGGTCCCGCGATTACCGCCTACCTAGATTCGCAATCTTTGCTAATCTTTGCGCAACATAATCGACAGTTGCCAGCTTTTGCCGACTCCCGCTAGAGCGCAGTGCTTTACCTCCATTGCCTCAGTAGTATGTGAAGCATGACTTATTAACTTAGCTTTGACGCACCTTGAATATCCTAAGGCCTAATTCTCTTTCACGCTTGCAACTCTCTTGATTCATTTAACCTTTTTCCGTATCATAACAGTGTGCTTAAAGTCTCTGAAGTCAAATTGACAAATATGATTGAGGAATTAATACAAGTTCAAGACACACAGCCAGCTCCTATTGCTGTTGAGGAGGTCGTCGTCGCTCAGGAAGTTCTCACTGAAACATGGAAACCAAGACAACGACCTTTCAACTCATCTCCCCCAGTCAAGGCGAGTTCATCTCCAGAAGAGGGAAATTTCAAAGTTAACACCATTGTCAGGCAATAATCGTTGGTGCGGGAATAGCAGGGGTTGCTGCGTCTATTCTGATTCCCCACAAGGTCGCAAATCTGTCTTATACTGTATATGAGCGACAAGATGCTGTCGTACGTCTATAATTTGGCATTAATATATAGAAACAAATAACTGAACTATCATATAGGGCGGAACTTGGGCCCAGAACCGCTATCCTGGCGTAAGATGCGATATCCCGTCTCACACTTACCGTACGTCTAACGATCCTGACTTTATCAATTAACACTTTTATTTTGCTAAGTGGAATGCTGTTCTAGAGCTAAGCTTTGCTCCTAATCTACGCTGGTCGGAATATTACTCTCCGGGGCATGAAATACGCGCATATTATGAAGGACTCGTAAAAGAGTATGGTGTTGACCAACATCTTCATCTCCAGCATGATGTGCTGTCGGCAAGATGGTCGAGCAAGCTACAAAAGTGGGAGGTGAAAGTTAAAAATCTGTCGACCGGAGAGGTTTTCACAGATACAGCGAACTTTTTCATTTCGGCAGCTGGTCGACTGAACGTGCCTAAATTTCCTGACATACCAGGGCTTGAGACAGTTTTTAAGGGAACTGTATTTCATACTTCTCAGTGGACTGAAGAGGTGAGTGACAAGATAGAAGGGAAGCGTGTTGCTATCATAGGTAACGGTGCGAGTGGACAACAAATTCTCGTCAATTTAATCAACAAGGTCGCCCATATCGATCATTATGTAAAGTCGAGACAGTGGGTAGTCAGATCCTTCAATCCGAAGCTTATCTCAGCTACCGTCGACACTCCCGGGGCATACATCTTCACCGAGCAAGAGAAGGAAACTTTTGAAAAAGACCCCAAAGCCTACCTGGAGTATCGGAGAGCATTGGAGAAGAATTTCCACGGAGGGCATGCAGCATCTTTCCTGGGAAGTCCAGAAGCTGAAAAGGTGTGGAATGATTATCGCGAGGCACTACGGACCCAAGTCAATGGAGATCAAGCCTGGTTTGATAGACTAGTGCCTCACTTTTCTCCTGGATGCAAACGACCAACCCCCACCGCTGGTTATATAGACGCAATCAGAAGTGCAAAAGTTGATTATGTGGACGACGCAAAGATTACGCATGCCACAGTCGACGGTCTAGTGACGGAAAACGGCCAAGAACGGAAGGTCGACTTTATCATTGTGGCCACTGGCTTTAAGAATGGGTTTCTTCCTTTATTCCCTACTATTGGGAAGAATGAGTTGGACTTGAGCAAACATTGGGCTGCGGATGGACCTATCGGATATCCTGAAACATATTTTGGTGTGATGGCCCCTAACATGCCCAACTATTTCGCACCTACCCAAGTAAGTTGATACTCGAATCTGTACCCGCCAGTCGGTGTAACTGACAAAGGCGCGTAGGCCAACACTAATGGTAGAGGCGGTTCCTTCCCTCTTCAAATGGAGATTTCAGCAACATACATCTCCAAAGTCATCCGCAAGGTGCAAAGCCAAGGTTATACCTCGGCTCACCCGTCCCAAGAAGCATCCGATGACTTTAACGAGATCGTCAGCACTTACTTCGAAGACAAAGTGATTGGCGACAATTGTAATGGCTGGTGGAAGAGCGGATTCGGAAAATCACGACCACTGGTTCCCTGGCCGGGAACCGGTCATCATCGTTTCGATATTTCTCGGGACCCGCGATGGGAGGATTTTGTTTTTGAGAGGACAAAGGAAAGCAGACGCAATAGGTTCGAATACTTCGGAAATGGCTTCACCGAGCGCGAGAAAGGCGGAGATGACATTCTGCTCACCAAGTACCTCAAAGAGGTGGGACAAATCGACCTTGCTACCCTCCACGAGAACTGGAATGACTAGAAGAGGCAGCTTGACCAAAATATGGAATTAGAAGAGAAATGATAAAAGATACTCGAAAGAATTGCAAGAGGCGTCTCCTTAGATACGTGTGTATTTCGTCTCATGCAGCCCATACGAGGTGGTCAAGCTTTCCTAACCTTCGTTCGTATATGAGACATTGCTGTAAAGATAATTGTCTTTTAACATCTTTGAAATGTCTCGCATAGGTGAAGTGATGTTTTGAATTCGCTCACAGCGGTTTCACAATACTACACACTATAGCACCTGGCAGGTCACTTGTGGGGAGCCGGCTGCCAGGTGCCAGACATCCCTGCACTTGCATTAGCGACATGTTACGCGTCGGTTGTGACACTTCGCGGTACGATGAGGTGATGGCATAAGAACGGGACCTGAAGAGGTGATATTGCGTCTTTGAACCATTTTGTGCAATTCGTTACACTCTGAATGCGCGGGGTGTCACACTGGCACAATGCCACTCGCACACCATTCCCAGGCCTGTTAACATGTCTCTACACGGAGGATTAGTCTCGTGTATAAAGAGGGGACCACCTATGTACCAAGGCAATAGGTAATGTCAACTCGGACTTATATTTGTATTGTAAACTACATTGAAATCATGGCAGCTGTTTCCCTGAGAGAGGGCGGTCCCGCTCTTAAAGGGCCGTTCGATTTTGAGGACAGCCCGCTCAGTCGTTCAGCGAGACAGCCTTTACTATTGGGCGTGTTTCTTGACCTGCTTGATGCTAAGAAGTCTAGCTATCCCTCGAGCAATAGCTGGACGTTCGACTATAATGTCGATATTGTTCGCAAGGCCGATGAATTGGGGTTTGATGTGGCCTTTAGCCGCACGCAATGGCTACCCAAAGGCGGCTATGACAACGAAGCGTCCCTCGATGCCTTTATTGCTCTTGGAGCCATGGCTGCCGTGACAAAGAACATATTACTTATCTCGACTATACACGTTCTATACGGGCCTCTTCATCCATTGCATATTGCCAAGTATGGAGCTACACTAGATCACATTTCCAAAGGCCGCTGGGGTATTAACATCGTTACTGGGCATCGTGCTATTGAGCATCAAATGTTTGGTTGGAACCGCATTGAGCATGACAAGAGATACGAGATGGCAGCTGAGCTGTTTGATGTGGTAAACAGTCTTTGGGGAGAAACTGAGAATCTAACGTACGAGGGTCGCGTGTCTCCTTGGAAACTTGAGAACGCGTGGATAACTCCAAAGCCCTTATATGGTCGACCGGTCCTAGTGAACGCTACGGGATCTGCCGCCGGTATTGACTTTGCAGTGCATTACTCAGATCTGATCTTCATCACCTCACCCGGAGGGGCCCATATCGAAAGCGCCCTGGAAACATTACCCGACCATATAAGCAAGATAAAAGACGCTGCCAAGGCCACTGGTCGCACTATAAAAACTCTGATCAACCCCATTATTGTCTCACGAGATACGCGCGAAGAGACCGACACGTACTTAAAGAACATTGTCGATGGTATGGCAGATATCGCGAAGGACGTGAAATTCGGAGGCAACCCTAAATATGACAGCGATGCGCATGCTTGGCGTGGTCGACAAGATAAGAGCCATAAGCAAGGATACAACCTCGGCGGCAACATAGAAATCATTGGCACCCCCAAAGAAGTGGTGGAGCAGCTTGCTGCTCTGCATCGCATTGGAGTTGACGGCGTGCAGCTTGGCTTTTACGATTGGAAAATCGATTTAGATCATTTCGCGCTAAAGATTCTCCCACTGCTCAAAGAAGCTGGTCTCCGCGTAGATTGAGACGTCTGTAGGTAGGTAGATTTATGATATCGAGCTATTTACATGCCACAATCTTTCCTTGCGTGTGCTTTGCCAATGATGCTGGAAAATGTGTGTTGTCGTTATCGGGGAACACTTCGGTGTTATTGTAATGACTATTACCTACTGTCATATATCAAAACAGGTAAATAATTCCGGCCGGGCACGCGAGAACTGCGCATATGACACAAGAAATCACTAACCCCCCCCCCCCTTTAGTTTGCCACATCTTTTATTCAACACAATGCGTGTCAAGGACCCTGGTAATAACACCATATTTCGCCCCGCTCAGTGAGGGTATCTCGGTAATATTGTGGTGCGTGCGGAGAGTAGCCTCTCAGATTGATGGCATTTGCCGTGACCTAGACCGCGCCTTGCCTTCCAAGAGGCGTTCATCCCACTCCACTAGTCTCCGATGAAGTATTTTCAAGCCTTATCCGAAGGCGTTTACTATTTCAATTATCTGAGTTCTGAGGTTGGCGCTGTACGCCGCATGCCCTCTTGGCGCTGCTACGCGAGAATTCTCCGCTATCAGTAAAGCACATCACCGGACTTAGGATCGCGCAATGAGATGTTACTACCATAGATGGTACGTATATGAACATGTACTATATCTTGAATTTCTACCTTTTGTGTAACCACCAGCACTGTTGATCGCGTCTTGCTATATTTGCCTTGCCTTTCAATCGTTTTCCAATTCACCAGTAACGCTTGTTACACAAAACTTCGAGATACCGGCAACATGACGACCATGGTGAAGAAAAGATGGTGGGGTATCCAATGGTTCTCGGCAGATGACACAAAAGAGGACCGCAAGTTTCTCTTGGAATTGGACACTATCATGATCCCATTCCTGCTGATTACATACTGGGTCAAGAACTTGGATCAGAACAACCTCAGTAAGAAGCTTGATCGTACTTCTCGTATAACAAGTGATGCTAACTAGATAGACAATGCTTATGTTGCAGGCATGAAAGAGGAGCTTGGCTTCTATGGCAACGAACTTATTCGGCTGCAGACTATCTACATTGTGGGCGCCGTGCTCGGACAGTTGCCTTTTCTATTCCTGTTCACTTATCTGCCAATGCACTGGGTCCTTCCAGGCATGGACATAGGTTGGGGGATCTTCACTCTGCTTCAATTTCGCGCGAACTCGTACGCTGAGATGATGGCATATCGCTTTTTTGTTGGCTGGTTCGAGGTATGTATCTCAAAGTGGATGATTGGCTTGAGAACGGCTACTGATCGAAAGCAAGGCTGCATATTTCCCAGCCGTTCATTACGTACTTGGTATGTCAACTTTCCCAAAATCTGTCTCAAAGTGTACGAAGCTAACGAGGTGTAGGTTCCTGGTACCGACGGCATGAGATCAGCCGCCGGGGTGGTATATGGTATCTTGGAGTTCCCATTGGCACACTGACGGCCGGGTTGGTTCAAGCTGGAGCGACGCAGAGGCTCGAAGGTGTCCATGGGTTATCTGGCTGGAGGTGAGTACTTCCTGCATGCCTTGCCTAAATCGTCGCCCGATTTTCTTAGGTCGTTTCTTGTGTAAACTGACAACATAATCTCCAGATGGATGTATATCATCTGCGCCATCATCACTATCCCAGTCGGTATCATCGGCTATTTCATCATTCCAGGAACGATTGCAATGCCCAACCGATGGGTTTTGAATGAGAAGGACATCGAGGTAGCTAAGCGGCGACTCGTACGGAGCGGGCATGTTACTCAAGGCAAACTCAAACGCCGACACATCAAGGAAATATTCTTCAGCAAGCACTTTTATATCGTGGTGTTGGTCGATGTTCTGTTCTGGAATGCCGGCGCGAACTCTGGAGCCTTTTTGCTGTGGCTTAAGTCATTGAAGAGGTATAGCTCACCAAAGGTCAATCAATTTGGTACTCTTCCCTCCGCTCTCGGCATCTTCTACACGCTCTTTGCCAACTTCTCCTCGGACTTGCTCTGGGGTCCCGCATGGAGTATTACATTTGCCTCTGGTTATAACTCCGTGGCCTTACTAATTCTGGTATGTTCGCTTTCGTTCTCTTGATTGTCTTATTTTATATATACTAATCATGTCACTCTAGGTTGTGTGGAATGTTCCGGAAGGCGCAAAATGGTTCGCCTTTTGCAGTACATCCTGGTCATATGCGCTATCCAGTGTGCTTCACGGCTGGGTAAACAACATTTTAAGAGACTCGCCAGAAACCCGTGCCTTCACACTTGTGTTCATGAATATTATGGCACAGTCTTCAACAGCATGGTGAGCCTCGATCTTCGCGGAAACCCAATCCGGGGTTCCCAAACATCATCTGATTCGCGTATAGGACGGGACTACTTGCTTATCCAACTGTGGAAGCCCCACGCTATCCGAAGGGCTTTGCCTTCTCCCTTGGATGTGCGGTGTCTCTCATCATCGGTTCGCATATACTCAACATTTATATGAAGCGTAAAGAGTAAGTCTCCCTGTCGTTCCTGCAAATTATGAGTGAATGAGCACTGACAAGACCCAGGAAACGTAAGACCGCCCAAATAGAAGACGACTCTCTTGACAGTAGCGATAGAGAAGAGAGTTCGACAGGGGGCAAGCAGGCCTCCGTTTATATACAACCATTCGGAGACAGAACTGTTGTCTCTTCTCCATGAATAGCTAGTTTAGGACGGTCTAAAGGATTCGGTGTTCAGTTTTTGGCCACATTATCCTATCCAGTAGGGATGTCCGCATGCCAATATTCCTACAAGCTCCATGATAGCCCCGCAGCATCTATGTTTGGGCGCATGAGTCACTAAGACGGATTTTGATTTGGCCTTGAATAAGGGCGATAGGCTTGAACACTAGTCATAAGTTTCAGGTTCTCTGAACAATCAATATAGAGACTTATTGATCTAAACGACACATCCAGTGCTCTATTCAAATCGGCAGTGCAGAAGCACAGATTGCATGTATTATGTGCCTCTAAACGCGCTTCACATCTATTCAACACTATTTTTGTTTGCAAGTGACATTGTCTGGGCATATTTGATGTGGATGAATCCCGGTTCCGTTGTAAGTTCAAGCCTTGACTTTAACCTCCCCACTCTCAGATGTCTCCTCAATGCTTTGCGGCGTCTCCACATCACCAGGCTGGTGACCCATGATGATATCGAATTTCTGTATTAAGCTGTTAGTGAATGTTCCCGGTTTGTATTGCATACGAGAACAAGACTGACCGGTCCTTCAAAGCGTTTACCGTAGACAACCCAATAAATGCTAATCACGACGAGGAAAATTCCAATGACGACCGATACATAGTCTCAATCAATTAGCTAAAGCGACTCAAGTCTGTGTGCGGATGACTTACTCATAACCGAACCGGACACGGGCAGAATGGTGGGGAAGCAAAAGAACTGTTGACGTAGTTTAGTTCCAAGCTCACTTCACATTGATCATCTTGCATTAGCACTTACAACAGAGGTTACGACGACGAAAATCGCTGCAATCCAATTAATCACAATACCACTGTGATCACCCAGCTTAAACAGCGACCTGCCATGCTGAAACGGCGCCAGCACCTTTCGCCCCCTCACAATCAGCGCAATAACTGGCACCACATACGACACGTTCAAGAAAATCGTACAACTCGCCGCGTACGCACTGAACGCAACGCTCGGACCAAGGTACAGCAATCCAAATAACACGTTAAACACGAAGCACAGCACGAGTGTGCGCACAGGGACGTCGAGCGTGGGGCTGATGTGGGCAAAGTACTGCGGAAAGACGATGCCTTTATCGCGCGCCATGGCGTACATGAGGCGTGAGGCGCTGGTGATACAGCCGTTGGTGCCGTTGATGAAGCAAATGGCAAGCATAAGCGTCAGGATCGTTGCGGCGGCGCGGCTGCCGGTCGCCTGGAGGATGAGCTCGGAGATGGGCATGCCGCTCGAGGTGGAGAGGACCGTGTCTGGGTCGACGAGGCAGAAGAGAATGACGAGAATGAAGGCTGTGCCGCTATTGGGACAATTGTTAGATCTGCCAAGTCATGGTAGTTAAGGGCATTGAAAGATCCTTACGTGACACCGCCGACAGCCACTGCATACATGATAGCACGAGGTGCATCGACAGCCGGCCGTGGCATCTCTTCAGTCATGTGAAGAGCAGCGTCGAACCCGATAAGAGACAGCGCCGATTGCAAAAGACCGAGGATCCAAGCCATGCCATCTGACCAGCCAGTTTCGTTTTGGAACTCAGTGAAGACGAAATCCGCCTTGGTCTTCTTGGAAGTGGAGAGCAGGACGATGCTGATGATAACAACTCCCAGAAGAGACCAGTATACTGTGTAAAGTCAGCTCCAAATTCCAACTCGAAACACACTTGATGACTTACACGCAGCATCATTCCATCTGCCCAAGATCTTATTACCCCAAATATTGCCTCCAGTCGTAAAAGTTAAGATAGCTAGGAAGATCAGATAAGTCTTCCAAGCTTCTGCTTCGTACGCATCATTTGACGCGATCACGGCAGCAGCAGAGATAAATTGCGAGGCAAAGAATCCCTCTGTTGTGACAAGAGTGAGCCATCCAGCGATGTTCGTCCAGCCAACCCAAAAACTCTAAACCCAGGGATAGTTGTGAGTAGAAAGCCCCTATACAACCATGCAGCATTGATGAAACTCACCATTGACTTCCTCCACTTCTCACTGCAGATGGCATACACGAAATGATACTGACCACCAGCCGTGGGCCAAATTGCAGCCATCTCGCCCAAGCTGGCACCCAAGGCAAAGTTGCACAGGACACAAAAGATGAAGCCGTAGAGAAAAGCCACTGAGCCACCCGATGGCAGAATGAGGCCGATTGAGCCAGCAAGCGCGATCCACGTATTGAGGATGGCAAAGGTCATGGCGACCATTGTCAACCTCGACAACCGTGGACGCAGGTGACCCTCTGCGGGCGTAGACGTTGTGACAGTCATATTGAGTCAACGCGATGACTTTCGTCTGAAAGGCTTTGAGAGGTGGGAAAGGTTGAAAGGTTCTTAACAGTGCCGGTATATAGGCAGTGGAATCTACAGCGACTGTGCGGTGTGGTACAGGTGACAGATTAGTCGGACTGGGTATTGATTGGGATTATATCTGATATGTACTCTTCAAGAGAAATTGTTCCCCTCGCTAATAAGCCGCAAAATATCCCCCTGTTGAAAATAATACAGCACATTACAAAAGACATACCTTATAATGCCAAGCACAGCCTTATCATTCAACGAACTAGTCGTGGTCGCAAAGTTACACCACCCTGAGTAAGTCAAATTCACAAACTGAAGGGGCCAACACGCCTCGTGTTGGGGGCGAACCAGCAGCCCTCGAGGCGTATGTGACCGAGCAGACCCCAACGCTGACTATGACAGCGGGAGGCGGTGGGATTGAGCGGGAGCCGAACTTGATCGCAAGTTCTTCCCCCCAAAGTCGAACCCAGAGCTTTGGTAAAGCAATCAACAAGCCCTATCTCGCGTATAAGTCGCGGCAACAGTCACCCATAGTGTCATGACCTGATAGAGAAAGTCCATCCGAGCGGTCTATGAACTCCGTTTCTATGATATACGCTTCAAGGTTCAGAACTTCTGATAAGGGCGCCTACGTGAGGCTTTACTCGTGTATCACCACCCATTACCGGATAAGATATGGCACGAGGTTCCGGGGTTGGCGCCGATCGTTAGCACGGGACGCCGTCAGTCTGGAAAAACGCCTTGCCCTTTTGGCGGTCCGAGCCCCGCTATCGGGAAGCCGCTTGGCAGCACTTCGCGATCGATTAGCGGGGAGAGCTGACAGGCGGGACGGTAAACCTGAAGAGCTGCAGCGCAGTGGAAGGACTCTGCGATCTCCCCCTGCCCTCGGGGTCTAAACGCTCGGGATTTGGTCTCCTCCTCCCAATTTCCTCCCTTCAACAACGACTCATGATGTTTTGTAACGAATTGTACGACAGCGACGGATAGACGCCACCGTTACACGAGTTATCGCATCGGAGAGTTCCTTAGGCTCAGCAGCCGCGAATCTACAGCCGCTCCGAGGCAGGATCTTGCGATCGGCGTTAAGCCAATTCGAAGAGCCATGTCGCAACAGCGTGCGAGAGGGGTTGGTGTTGTGGCCTGTTATGGCCGATATAAGGATGATTTCCATCGAGGAACGAGTTGACTCGGATAATGACAGCTCGATTCGAAGCATCACTGCGAATTCGACCAACGTTCAAGATGTCTCAGAAAGTCCGCGTCGGAGCCGTTCAGGCTGAGCCTGTGTGGCTTGACCTCGACGGTAGTGTGGACAAGACCATCTCTCTCATTGAGCAGGCCTCAGCCGATGGCGTCAATGTGCTTGGCTTTCCAGAAGTATGGATTCCAGGTTACCCATGGTAGGTATTGCCGGCTGTTGGTCTACCGAGGACGATCGGGCTAACTGCACGTTGTTCGTTACATAGGAGTATGTGGACAAGCGCTGTGATCAACAACTCTCACATCATCCACGACTACATGGCAAATTCGATGCCCAAGAATTCGCCACAGATGAAACGCATCCAGGAGGCTGTCAAAAAAGCCGGTATGATGGTCGTGCTAGGCTACAGCGAGCGAGATGGTGCGAGCTTGTACATGGCACAGTCATTCATCTCTCCGGAGGGAGAAATCGTACACCACCGCCGAAAGATCAAGCCCACGCATATTGAGAGGACAATCTGGGGAGATGGCCAAGCCGAGTCACTCAAATGCGTGGTCGACTCGCCATTCGGTAAGGTCGGCGGGCTGAACTGCTGGGAGCACCTGCAGCCGCTCCTGAGGTACTACGAGTACTCGCAAGGCGTGCAGATACACGTCGCTAGTTGGCCGGCCGAGTTCGCCATGCCAGACCCGAAGAAGATTGCGTGGCTGTACCACGAGACAGGAGAGGCAAGCTATCGTGCTAGCCAGTTCTTCGCTATTGGTACAGAATCCCGAGCTTCAATACAAAACAGTCGGGACTAAAAGATGCTGACAATCTACAGAGGGTCAATCGTTCGTCCTAGTTGCCTCGCAGATCTTGACGGAGGAAAACGTGGAGAAAAACAACCTGACGGGCAACCCTGGTAGGCGCTGTCCTAGACGCGAACTCTGACCGATGTTGACTCCGCTTAGTAACTACGACGCCAGGCGGCGGCTTCTCTATGATCTTTGGCCCTGATGGCAAGCCGTTGTGTGAGCCCGTGGACGCAGGATGGGAGGGTGTTCTCAAGGCTGACATCGACCTGCGGGATATTGACAAACCTAAGGCATTCATCGACGTTGTCGGGCATTATGCGCGACCTGACCTCCTGAGTCTGTTGGTGAATCCTACTGCCGACAAACATGTAACTCTCATGGACAAATAGTCCCGGTGTATGGGCTCGCTGTCCGGTGGTCATTTCCAGCGTTTGCCGCTGGGAGTCAGTGAGTGATTAAGCGACACGCCTACTTCTAGAGGCGTGCATGATCTTGGTCTCATATGAACCAAGGGGCTGCAGTGTCAAAGGTGACGAGCTCCCACCACTTTATCTGCTTAGGCTTCTCGCTATCTGCTTGAAGGTCTTGCTGCTTCCAGAATGACTCGATAATTGTCCGCAAAACAAACACATTACCAATTTTACGAGCTTTATCCATGAGGTCCAGTGTGCGAAGTATAATGATACGCTGCTCATCGGTCTCGGTCTCGCAGGCTATGACGAAGAGCGGCCAAGGACTTGTGCAGACCTCCAGACCGCCAAGTAATTGAAAGGCTTGTTCGAGATAGACTGATCGGTGATCTGCGCTAGCCCCTGCTGGGGAGGTCCGGCGAAGGTAGAGGAGGGTGGCGACGCGATATAGCTCCGCCGTGGTCATCACCTTCGTCCGCTCTTTCGGAGAGTGGTGTGCAAAATCCTCTGGGTCCATGGTCTGGGTGAGATTGAGCAATCGGTCCTCTAAGCTCTTCGCTTGCTGAGCTTCGGCAAGAACTTCAGGAGAGCACCGACCTCTAGGGTCTTCGGTTGGTAAAGGGCGCAACTCATTGACATGATGAATGATCTCCATGACCTCTACAGAGCAGCCTAGGGAGCCGATAATCTGGACCGTGTTAGTTATGCTCTGTAAATGAGAGTGAGCAGGTGTTCATTGGCTTTCTCACAATTGCGTTGTCAAAGTCGCTACCCTGAATAAGCTCCAAAGAGGTCGGCCCTTCCAGCCGTCGCCGTGGCGGCTGACTAAAGGCGCCAAGAACTTCGTGGTAAAGAAACCAGGTGTAGAGGAAGCTGTAGTCGAGTCTCCCGCCATGAACCTTGGCTGCTCGGTGGATGAGATTTCGAGCGCCATTGAGGTGAAGATGCCAATAACCTTCGGCCTCATCGAATACCTGATCCATGTTAACCAAATGGCCCCTTGAGGGAATTTCAAGCACCAACATTGTAGACACACAGCATCATCGATGTTGCGAGCTGGGCATCGACCGTGGCGGGGTTGCTCGGGGCCTCTTGTGCAAGGGAGGCTGACAACGAGCGCAATGCATTGGCCTTGTATGGTAGCGCAGCTTCGGCACCGTACCTGTGGAACGCGGACAGTGCCAGGATAGCATTGAGGAGACCCGATGTGGCAGCAGATGCAGCCGAGAGCGCCATAGGTAGCAACTCTAGCCGGAAACCGTTCTTAGAATCAACGGTGGATACCATCCTCGCGATTCGTTGCTCGTCTTTCGTTGGGGTCGGTTCGTGTTAGCAAATGACAGGACGCATGGGCAATCAGCCTAGTGCCACAGGGGTCGGCTCTGAGGCCGGAACTCACAGTAAGACAAGAGCTGCGATTCCACCTCCGTTACGTTTGGGTTGGAGGAAAGACCGGGCCCAGGCCGGCTATAGGGCGGCTGTATATGCAGCTTCATAGCGCTGACGTCCTGCCTGCTTAAATTCAGGTCCTCGAATGTGATGTTCAAGAACTGCTGGCCGTAGTGGGGCTGACGAGGCGCGAGCTGCAAGTCTGTGTCTGGAGATGCATCCAGCTGCGTGGGTAGCTTCTGCAGCTTCCGCCTGCCGTCTGGTCTGTCTGGCCACACGAGGCGGATGCCATATCCCAGGCACTCTCTGCCTGTACGCAGGCAATTGTTGCATGCCGGCAGCTCCCGGTCGCAGCCAATCTTGCGGCCTGTAGCAGGGACAGTCAGTGAAAGGTCCGGGTCAGTCAATTCGGCGGTCAGTTTCAATCGCGCGAGGCAGGAAGGAAGAAACGGAGAGGGGGTGAGGGCATCTGGCGCAAGCGGTGCCGTGTCTTGTCTCGTCTCGTTTCGTATGGCCGTGTCTTGTCCTGTGACATGGCCGCTGCGGAGTAGCTATTGGGGTATGCGAGTCCTCGTATACGTAGATGGATGTGTGAAGACGCCACAGGTGAAGTGTGTATGTGTGTATATGTACGTGTATGTGTATGGAGAGAGAGGTGTGATTGAGGGTGATTGATTACTCACGCTTGCATGTCCAGCAGCCCTGTCTGGCCTTGGGAGTGCCGTCGTGGTGGTGTTGGCTGCTCTGCTTGCCGGTGCCGCCGCCCCCGATGCTGCTGCGAGAGGATGAGACCGGTAGCGTCCGATCAGTAAGCTTGGCCGTCTTCATGGCCGCCGAACAGTCACTTTCATCGTCGGCGATGGTATTCGGGCCCTTCTCCGGACCGCCTGAAGCGATGTGTTGTTGAGGATAAGAGAATGGAGCCTTTTGCTGGTGTATGGTGGAGTATGAGTATGTAAGGTAAGGTAAGGTGTTTAAGCATGTGTGGTGGTTGTGGTGCAGCAGCGCTCCTACTAACGTTAACGAACGAATGGGGAAAACTAGACGAACACTGACTGACTGACTGACAGGCGGAGTTGGGGTGGGAATCGGACACCGAACGTACCTTCCCAATTGCATGCCATCGTGTTTGTGCTGTTCCTGCCTTATCATACCTCATTGCACTACACTACACCAGGACCTCCGGTAATCGCTGTTAATCTGTTAGGCTCACCGCCAATGTCTGATCTAGTGCCGCCAGATAATGCACTAACAGATAGCACCGCATCTCCTAGCCTTCCAAGGTTCCCCGCCCGGGTCTGCGCTGCGTGTCTCCGGGTCCGCTACCAGCAGAAAGTGCCCGAGATGCTCCAGAGTCGCTCCTGCCGCAACATTGGATTCCCTAGACGGTGATGCTGCATGGTTCCTGCTCCTTCCTATCATCAATCAGAGATGGTCTGCATTGTGCCTTCCATCTTATGCTGCATTTGAGCTGTTCATTCATTATCTAAGCATGATATCTAAATTGAGTCTCCTTGTGCCTCTCCTCTATCCATCTCTCATGCAATCAAGTTTCATCCGATACCGAACCCGATACGTTGGGGCAATGGGTGACAAAGCATCATGACAAGCCTCAAACTAGTATAGACCAGGTTCTCATTGCTACATCAAGTCGACATGTGCTGCGCACGCTGTGGTCAAGTCAAGCTTAATTGCTGTGCCCGAGAGCGGGACAACACATTGTGCAGCATGGAAGTGGCCATCACCAAACTTTTGCAGAAAGACAGCCATCCCCCTAGTTCACCTATCCTGCGAGCATGACACCTGAAACGCCGCGGACTGTCCGGTACATGCAGGAACTGCCCTTGGCCAACTACCGAGCGGATGCGGTCTGGTACTTTTGATTGCATCCTTTCGGTAATTTTGTCAGCTTGCGGCTCAGGCGCCCCTTCGCCTCCTTTTCCAATCTCCGGCGTACTGAAGTGAAATGTTGGCTATCGGCCGGTACGATCGTCTACCTTTGTCGACGCAACGATGAATTTAATTGAAATTTACTCCCTATAGGGCGTGCTGGGCTTACACGGAATCCATCCCCGATCCTTCGATGAGCGGCGCGGGTCGCACAATCATTTTGTCCCCGCTCATTCCCCGTGGCACAGGCATGTGTGCTTTGTCACTCACTGACACATCAAGTAAAGATCAAAGCTTATTTTTATATCGCGAACTCAAGCTGGTAGCGGCACAGATGGTCACATCCCAGTCGCTTGACCTTACCTCCGGCCATGCTTGTGATAATCTCCGCAATAGGAGCATTCCTCCTGGGCTGGCTGGTTGCTGGGCCCCGCGCCGATGGCACCAATTGGCCATCAAGTGCACAGGAGGAGGCTCCCATGGTCAGATCTTACCTCATGGTCGGCGGGAACTATGATGATGACGGAGCCGGTGGGCATATCTTACGGGACCAGATGTACGTCGAGCATCTAACGCCGGTGCATGGAATACGCCAACCACATCCAATTGTCATGATTCATGGCGGATCACAGACAGGAAGTGTAGGAAGCTACCTCTTTTCCAATATTTGGAGGGCTTGTCTAATGTATAGATCATAGAACTTCTTGAACAAGCCGGATGGTGGTAAGGGTTGGGCGTCCCTCTTCATTCAGCAAGGCTACGAGCTCTTCATTGTGGATATACCTGCTCGAGGCCGTTCAGCATGGCTACCCATCGGTGGACCAAACCTTGCATCCGCTTTTCCAGTGCAGTATGTCGAGTCTCACTTCACATCATCGAAGAAGTACGGCCTTTGGCCACAAGCATCCAAGCATACGCAGTGGAACGGCTCAGGCGAGATGGGTGACCCGATCTTCGACCAGTTCTACGCATCCAACGTGCAGTCGACCACAAACGCCTCGTGGGCGCAAGCAGCCACACAACGTGCTGGAGCAGCACTACTCGATAGAATCAACAAGCCGGTCATCCTCATGGGGCATAGTCAGGGTGGCCCAATGGTGCCTGCAGTTGCGGATGCACGCCCGATGCGAACGAAGGCGTTAATACTGCTCGAGCCAGCAGGTCCGCCGTTTCGGGAGGCCGTTTTTAAGAACAAGTCCGCCCGCCTCTGGGGCGTTGCCGACATCCCGCTTCGCTACGATCCGCTAGTCCTGGATCCGGCTACCGACCTCGTTGTCCAGCAAACGGTGGCTGCCGCGGATACGGCACACACGGCCTGCATCCTCCAAGCCGACGACCCAACCCCTCGCAAGCTCACAAACCTGGCTGACAAGCCAATGCTACTGGTAACGGCCGAGGCTTCGTACCACGCCGTATACGACCACTGCACTGTTCAGTTTCTGCGCCAGGCAGGTTGCAGTCGGCTGGATCACATCGAGCTCGCCGAAATTGGCATCCATGGTAATGGACACATGATGTTCATGGAGAAGAATAGCGACGAGATCCAGGCTGTATTACATGACTGGATCGGTAGGATTGGGTAAGCGGACCATCATGTCGCCGGCGTCATCACCAGACCCATCTTGGTGCATCCCATACGTTCTTATACAACCCAGAAGCTATCCACACCTCCACCGCCACGCCAAATCGCACAGCTTGAATGGACTCACGGTCAGGCGTTCTATCGTCCAAATTTTATCCCCAAGCTTTTGGAGCAATAGCGCCTGCCTAGAGAATCTTGCTATTCTCCCTTGGGGGCGTGGTGGTGCAGCTCCTCTCGCTGGAATGTAGGCGGTGCCGCCCACTGGCACTCAATTGATTTTCTCGCCCTGGCTATCCTGAAGCAGCCATTCTTCAGCAGCCACCCTGTCTCAGATGCCGCCTTCTCACTGGATGCGATTTTTCTAGGCACAGTCGCGGAGGCAACGCGCCATGGTGTCTCGCTTCCATCGCGATGGAGACGGACTCGCTCGATGGCTGGGCCGGACTACTTTCAGCATTGCTGTGGCAGGAGACAATCTCGTTGAAAAGGCAACCGAGCCGCCATGTTGTTGTTCTACTTCCTCTTCTTTCTTTCTCCCATCAGAAGACTATCCCATTCGTTTCCTGGTCAGTCACTTCAGAGCAACACCTGTTCTTCAGAAGCTCTGTAGATTGACAATATCACACTCGCTCGCGCTTCAAGTCTTCCAAGGAGGAATCACATCTACGTCCTACGAAAGAAAAGATGGCTCGATTCTTCATGCTGGCGGCGAGCACTGCGGCTCTGTTTGCCGGTGTGAAGGCACAGCTCTCTTACCAAGGATGCGTTGCTGTCGACCCCAACTCATTCGCTGATACTACTCCTCTCGATCCCAACTCTCCAGAGACATGCGCAACATACTGCAGTGGTCTGGGCTACCAATACATCGCAGTTTCCGCACAGTAAGTTTCAAGGAGTTCCAAGCCCATCGCACATGCTAATACAAGTTCAGATTCTGCTCTTGCTCGGGAACTGCACTCACAGTCACAGACACATACGCGGACACTGGCAACACAGAGTGTTCGTTCAACTGCGATCCTCCGTATGAGGCCGAGTTCTGTGGTGGCATTGACAGCACAACGCTCTCCTTCATCTACAGCTACTACATTGTGTCAGGCAGCGTCAGCGTCTCTGTTTCACAACCAGCCACTGTTGCCAGCTCATCCGCGCCGGCTGCTGTCTCATCGTCAACACAGGTTGTCGTTGTCTCCTCAAATATACCCGTTACCACAGTTCCCGCCACCCCCTCGACTACTAGCTCGGCTGCCGCTGATCCTGCGGATGGAACCTCGGCAGGTGCTCCGATTGCCATTTCATCTGGCGTCGTCATCGTCCCATCATCGACCGTCGTTGCCAGCGCTGACCCTGCGCTGGTTTCTGGTACTGAAGCCGCAGCTGCACCAGATGTTGTCGTCACCGTCGACATCCCGACTTACACAGCTACGGTTTACACGACCACGACTTCGCTGTACAGTACTTGCCCAGCTTGCGCCGCGTCGCCGACGGAGGTTGTCTTGGCGGTCACAACGTGCTACCCTGGCGAGCTCTTCACCTCGCAAATCGCTATTGTGACCGAGGTGCCCTGCAGCGGTGGATGGCTCGAGACGCAGACCATCGACACAGTGACTGTGTTCCCGTATAACCCGGCCGAGAGCACGACGACTGTCATCACCGAGGGAACGACTACCCGCACGGTGCTGATTCCCGTGACACATGTCCTGTCTGTGACAGAGGCTCCCGCCATCATCACGGAGGCGCCCATTGCGACACCTATCGCAACACCCATCGCGTCACCCAGCAGCAACGGCACGAACATCACCATTGTTGTGCCCTCATCGTCAACAGGACCGTTCACCGCCGTTGTCACTGCAGGCGCTACGACCTTTGCGGACGAGAGCCTCAAGATGGCCGGCGCGATGTTGGGTGCCCTGATGATCGGTGCCGTGATGGTGCTATAATCTGGACAGACAAAAGCATACCGGGGTTTGTCAAGTGTCAAATTTACCACCCACCTATTTACCTTGCCATCTGTACCTTACGTACCTTACTTCACCTTGTCTTACCTATACCGGCGACACGGCGGCGTTAAACTTGCGAGATCTTGCTGTTTTGGACAATTTAGAAAGACGGCCGACAATTTGGAATGGGAATGGGGTGTCGGAATCAGGATGGCCTCTCGCGATTTACTACTACCACAATTACTATTACTACTGGCATGGGATAGAAGGAAGCGTGTCCAGCTCTGTTCGGTATCGAATGCCGAAAGGGGGTGAATTAAGAATGAGGCGACGCAAGGGGGTCATTACGGGGCTCTAGAGTCCGCGAACCGAGTGGTCATGGGCCGGTCTCAAGCCAAAGCAAGCATTTTGTATCAAGTACCACAGCAAGTAACTGGGCGGGTAATGTTCTGTATTTGCTAGAATGGGAGAAGAGGAATTTAGCAATAGCTGTAGCTTATGATACTCAAATCAATTAATGATTACCCAAACTTAATACGTCTTTTACGTCTTTTCATGAGTGAGGTGAATGACCAATCAGGGGGCTTGTCAGCGTCTTCCTGGAGACTAAAATTGCAGTGTTGGAATGTACTCCTCTCTCTGGAGGCTACAATCGCAGTGAAGATTCATGTAGGCGGAGAAGCTCTGCTCGATCGTCACACCGGTCTTGAGAGTGTACTTATCTTCTCCAATGGTAAACGTTATCAGCACCTGGCTGAAGGCTAAAATTGCAGTGAACGACGACGACAGGCTGCTTGAGTGTGGTACTGTGTAAGAGCTGAAGCTTCATCCGCCAGAAAAACACCTGACATGGTTGTAACCCACGGTAATTGAGCAAGCATAACCATCACTAATTTCGCGTTCGCTATCTGGTCGTGCTAAAGGTTCGCATCTGGTCCATGCAACCCATCCGTGCTACTCATTGTTTTTTTCTGGCCTGAGGGCTTCCAGAATTCAGCCAGACATGCAGAGCTTGCGTGGTCGCAAGTTTCCAAGAGCAAGATCTTGGAGCACCAAGGTTTGCTACGATATACAAGAGTTTGCAGTACTCATGCATGTACATTATTCAGGACGTCCAACGGCTCCGAACTTCCTTGGCCTGCTCTCATCTCAAGTTTCTCGAACTCTTTCAGAAGCTGGAATCTAAGGGCTGCAGCTTCCCGGTTTTCTCAGCTATGGATCAGCAGATCAAGGGGCTTAAAGTCCAGCATGCCGAGCCGCATGGCATGCGAAGGGCTATTTTTGAAGCAAGGGGGGCTAGACTTTTAAGTCTGGATCCATCAGACAGGCCAACGTCACTTGAAACTTTGAGTCAGCTCGCTCGTGAATAGAACTATGATACGCCACGACTATCCTCATAACTAACCCCATTCTTTGCAATACGCGGGCTTCAAAATGCCATGAACGCTGGCTCAGGGCTTCAGGGGCGCAGGAGAAGGCTGCACGTGCTGGATCTTGTGATGGGGGAGCGATAGCGGTAAAGCGATCACGGTCGTAGCGGGGTCACACCTAACCCAGCCTCGGAAGCGGGCATCGCCGGGACCTGGAGACAGAGCGGAGACGGCTATCAGCGGGGAAGCATCAATTACAAGATGGAGTGACGCTCCGGCCTCGCACGCAGCTCCTCTCCTGCTCCCGGTGGCCTCTCCTGAGTTCAATTGGTGTCGGTGAAGATGTATAGGCCTCTCTACAGACGATGTGCACGCCAATTCCTGCGGCCAGTGCAGGCTAGCAGCACTCGGAGCTATGCGGCTGCTTCTGCAACGCCGCCGTTCGACTGGCAGGACCCGTTGAATGCAAAGGCGCTGCTCACCGAGGAGGAGCTTGCCATTGCGGACACCGCGGAGAAGTACTGCCAGGAGCAACTACTTCCCAGAGTCCTCCGTATGATTTAGGCTGCAATTATCTTCTCTTCGTGCGTATTCATGCTAATTGATCCCGTCTGCAGAAGCATACCGCGATGAGAACTACGACCGCAATATCCTCTCCGAGATGGGCGAGCTGGGCCTGCTTGGCGCGACGATCGATGGATACGGATGTGCTGGTGTGTCTACGGTTGCAGGTGGCTTGATTACGAGGGCGGTCGAGCGTGTGGACAGTGGCTACAGGTCAGGCATGTCGGTACAGTCCTCGCTGGTGATGGGCGGCATCCACGAGTTTGGGTCCGAGGAGCAAAAGGAGAAATACCTACCAGACATGGCCAAGGGCAAGCTGCTGGGTGCGTTTGGTCTGACCGAGCCCAACCACGGCAGCGATCCCGGCTCGATGGAGACAACGGCTCGGCCACATCCCAGCAAGAGCGGCTACTACCTGCTGTCTGGCGCAAAGACGTGGATCACCAACTCGCCCATCGCCGACGTCTTGCTCGTGTGGGCCAAGCTCTCAGAGACGGGCAAGATCCGCGGCTTCCTCGTCGACCGCCGCGACAGCCCCGAAGGCACGCTGTCCACGCCGCCCATCAAGAACAAGAACGGCCTGCGCGCCTCCATCACCGGCATGATCCAGCTGGGCGACTGCCCCGTGCCGGCGGCCAACATGTTCCCCACGGTCGAGGGCCTGCGCGGGCCCTTCGCGTGCCTCAACAGCGCGCGGTACGGCATCGCCATGGGCACGATGGGCGCGCTGGAGGACTGCATCGCGCGGGCGCGGACGTACGCGCTGGAGCGGCGGCAGTTCAAGGGCAACCCGCTGGCGCGGTACCAGCTGGTGCAGAAGAAGCTGGCGGACGCGGCGACGGACGCGGCGTACGGGATGCTGGCGGCGGTGCAGGTGGGGCGGCTGAAGGACGAGGGCAAGGCCACGCCCGAGATGATCAGCCTGGTCAAGAGGCAGAACTGCGACCGGGCGCTGGTGAATGCGCGGACGCTGCAGGAGGTGTTTGGCGGCAATGCGGTCAGCGATGAGTATGGCATCGGGCGGCACGTGGCGAATCTGTTCGTCACGCAGACGTATGAGGGCCAGAGCGACATTCATAGTAAGTCTCGTCTTTTATTACTCCGGAGATGGGTACTGGTTTTGCTGACTACTGGGCTACAGGCTTGATTCTGGGAAGGGCCATCACTGGCATCCAGGCATTTGTATGAGCCTATCTCAGAAAGGGGCGACGGTGTAGCATGTTCGACTTCACTAGCTACCTCCTTCTTTGAATCTAGATACAGCTTTGAAAATACGACACCAACTAAAGAGCATTGATCGGTACAATAGCATTGCAATGACACGTGGCAACACTTTCGGAATCTCATGCAACGATGATCAGCATTCATAATTGCCGATGTTGCCATGTGCTGCTCCTTTCGTAAAAACGTGGCTGTATTGGTAGTGGTGGTGACATTCGGCTGCATCCGGGCATCCATGGGACGGACTGGGACGGGCTTACCTTCCCGCTGGTAGAAAGATACGTACCCGTTGCCTAGCAATGCAATACATCCCGTCCGTCGATTACAGTAGTGTATAGTACAGTGGTCATATCCGGCAATGATAGACGTCATTGTCTTGAACAAAGACTCAGCCTCATCTCAGGAATGCTGCTGCTGCAACGAGGCTAGGTAGGGATCACCTCAAAAGATGGCCGGACAATGGTTTGTCCTCTCCTATCGTGGCTCATCCTGCATCAGGCCAAAGGGGTTCTCGTTACTGTGACCTGCACTTGCCTGAGAACGGGGAACTCCTTGGGTGGAAGGTGCGTGAACAGCTGGCTGTGCCCATCCAGGGAAGGTTAGAACTGCACTGACAGCACAAAATGTGGCTGTGGTTGTAGAGTCATCCGATCGTAAGAATGTCCCGCCGCTACCTTAACAATCTCTTAGTCACTTTATTGGGGAATTTGCAGGCTATGACAAAGAGGTGGTACTTCAAGAAGCTTAGTCGGTGCTGTGTTACTTAATCAAACTTGTAGTGTGGCGGTGCAGTGACTATTGAGGGCATTTCTCAGCATTTCCAAGCGCCATCCGCCGAAGAAGGCGATTTCCAATCCTGCCCTGTCCTGCCCTGCCCTGCCCTTGATGGTCTGATATGGCTGAATCCTTTTCTTCCCAATGATGGTGCCTCTGGTTTGGGTCCTGCTCCGACCAGCTGGGTAGCATTACAGCGACACAGGGCGGACTGCAGCTGGGTACAGCGCCTATGCAGTGGGTTTTCAGGCAGGTATTAGCGCCCAGCCACAGCCTTTGTAGGCCTGTTGCAGTGAATAGAGCCCAATCCTAGAGGGACAGTGGGGCTGGATCCGTCCTATCCTGCTTGCTGTCCTCAGTACACCAGTGAAGAGTGCTCCGCTCTGGGCGGATCCCTCAGCCAGTCAAAGGAAGAGAAACAGAGTTCACTTCCGGTTCCTTCCCCTCCTTTTTTGGCAGGAACTGACTGTACTATTATGTGTTGTGTGTGTCTGTTGGTCGCTGCTTCCTGTTTTCCTGAGGCCCATTTTCCGGGCAGGTACCTAACAAACCTGCCTAATAATCCCTAACACTACTACTAGCCAAACCAAACCTCGTCGCTGTGATCGATTTTTCTCCCACTTCCATTTGCGATACCACACCAAACCCAACTTATCTCCATCCATCCATCCATCCACCATCCCTCCGCAGCCTTGACATCAAAAGTCTTCTGGTATGTTCCCGACAGTCCTTTCCGTGATCCAGGCCCTTTTGCTTCACTCTCAATAAGCGACGACAAACAGGAACAGGCACACGCACAGTCTGGTCTGTGTCCTGTGTCTTGTGTCGCTGTTGTCTGATTCATTCACTCGCCTTCTGCGTGCTTCCACCAGCTGACCGTTCCTTTAAATACAGCCTCCCCCGCCACCTCTCCTCTGCGCAGCAACCACCCAACCGACCGGACAAACGACTGACAAAGGAAACGAGCGAGACATTTTCGCTCTCTCTTCTTTCAAACGAACAACAACAACAATCTCACACATCTCCATCACACAAAAATGGCTCTGAAGCGCATTAACAAGGAGTTGACTGATCTCGGCCGGTACGTTGCCTCCCTGTCCTAATTATCGCACGATACCTTCTCTCCTGCTTCCAAGGTTTCTGGATCCTGCCCGGTGGCGCTGCTACTGGTTGCTGGCTGTTCGATTGCTGCTGTCAATCTTTGGATGATGATTCCGACTCCCATGGTGGGGGAACGCTGATGGATGGGTGAGCGGGGCTTGCAGACGGACAGATTTGCCAGCAGAATCGCTCACCATGTCAAAAAAAGCCATCTCGACGAGCAGCGCCGGCATCAAGCAGGACCATGACACCGATCTTGTTCCAAGATTGCATCGATGCTAACTTTTACTCTGCAGAGACCCGCCCTCATCATGCTCCGCTGGTCCCGTTGGTGAGGATCTGGTACGTGGACTCACCCCTCTCCGATAAGCGCCGTAGGCCCTGCCGTGGACTCCGCAAAGCGACCGAGCGACCACGCCGGACCGCCAGGAGCAGCACGAGGGCATGCGGGCATATCAACATACGTGTTCTGAATAGCATACTGACTCTGTTGCTTGAATAGTTCCACTGGCAAGCCACAATCATGGGACCTGTGAGTTTTCCCCTCCTCTTCATCTTCCTTCCAAAGGGCTTACCACCGCCCAATCTGCACTGCCCCGCATCGCCTGACTCGGGAGACCGGGATGCAACTGCAGGCATCATCAACGATTTCATGCTATCTTTCTTATTGTCGACATGTTGCTGACGCTGTCTTCTAGGGCGACTCACCATACTCCGGCGGTGTCTTCTTCCTGGCAATCCACTTCCCCACAGACTACCCGTTCAAGCCTCCCAAGGTCAACTTCACAACCCGCATCTACCACCCCAACATCAACAGCAACGGCAGCATCTGCTTAGATATCCTGCGAGACCAATGGAGCCCGGCTCTGACCATTTCCAAAGGTATGTCCTCTGTGTTTCCCTCCTCTACTATCCTTCTTGTATACTAACACTCACCTACAGTCCTACTGTCAATCTGCTCGATGCTGACGGACCCCAATCCCGATGACCCGTTGGTCCCCGAGATTGCACACGTCTACAAGACCGACCGCGCTAGATACGAGGCGACCGCCCGCGAGTGGACCCGCAAGTACGCCATCTAAACGAGCATGTCGCTTCCTTCGCCATCTGGGCGAGGATCGACGGGACATGATGGGGCGCCGTGTCTATTGGATGACGATGATGGGATAGGAAGGCTGCTATATCGGCGGTAGACATCATTTCTGGAACTTCTTTCTCTGTTACTTGCTGGCGTTGCGTCTCCGACTCATCGATGAAATCATTTTTGCGTTTTGACGGTCTATTCTTCTCTACCACACCACGAACACCACACTACGCGACGTTACACCAGAACACAACACACTCTACATTATTACACCATTTTGTCAGGGGACATGACAAGAACGAAAGGAGGGATGGCGAGAGAACGATCTAGGCATTCTGTGGGTGAAGGGTTGGACTTGTGCTACCTTTCCGACTTGGTCAAAAGGTAGCACGTGGTTTGGCCTCGAGACTTTGGGAGGGCTGGTTGTTCGAGTTGAGAAGTAGAAGGTCACAGATAGGCAGACAGGCATGCAGGCAGACAGACAGAAGTGCTTGAGGCAGGAATGCACAAATCATTCTGACATCCCATATTTGACAAGCGGAGGTCTTTGCTCGGCATCATTTGATGACTGTATTTGTGATTTTCATGATGGTTAGAGAAGCCTCTGATGGCGTCTTTGGCCGCACTTCCAAATCGAGAACCAACGTAGGAATTTGTGCTCTCTGAACATATGGTTTGATGTGTAACAACGCCTCCAGCGAGGACGATTGAGTTTTCAAGGTAGATGATGTTGATACATGGCTTCAACTTCGTTTTTGAGAAGGTTGATATACATTTTTTCTGGTCTCGAGATCTCAATATGTGTGACAGATTAGCTATCTAGCAAAAGGGAGGTCTCTCACGGTAAGAAATAAAGATAACATAGTTTGCAAGTTTTCGTGTCATCATGACTGCCCGGGACTGAATGCTTTGGTATATGAATCGGTAGATCTCCTCGGACGTGCTGATAGGACGATGATGACGTTTCTGTTGGAGATGACTGCGGTGAAGGCAGATCAGGAAGGATCTAGTAGTGCGTCATGGATTATCATTTGTTAGCTTGGCTCCTTTGCCTTGTAGGTATTTTTACGTAGAAGTGTTGCTATTCTGTCGAAGGTTTTGTCACGGATGAGGTTTGCTATTTGGAGAGCTATGAATCGAATATTGAGTGAAGGGAGGTAATGATTTGATGTTCTCAGGATAACGAGCCTCTCGGTAGCACTAATGGTTATGCATGTTAGAACCAGAAAGAGAACTATTCGTTGAGAACAGTTTACTGTGAAAAGAGACACGGTATTGTATCTCATTGTGTATCTTATGGCGTGCTGGACAGAGTGATCTGGGCCGAATCTGATCAAACAAATGCATGATAAAGCACAGCCTCGATTTTGATCTTTCCAAGACTGCTTCAAAAGTCGAGACAAGAAGTACACAAATAATTTCCCACTCTTTTCAACGGTAGCTTGATGTTCACGGGGAGATAATGTTTCTTAAAACTATACGTTTTGAGAGCAATACAGAAGAAAAATTGTATTTGAGACATTCAGATTTAGAAAAGAAAAAAAGAAAAGAAAAAGTAAAACGTTCTTCACATTATACAAACTTCATAAATGGCGAACTCGACTGCAAAATACTAAAGAGTAGGTATTGGTTAATGTTGAAAAGGACAGCGCTTTCATGTTTCAATGGTGTGGCTTATTGTGTATCTAGAGAATATCATATTGATCTCCGTAATTCTCCTTAATCAAATGTCGAAGCTTCACCCTGCGGACACAATCCAAGTTAGAGCCCCATTCTACGAAAGCTCACAGTAGGTGCTGAAGAAGCAAATTGGATATGTTCGCGAATGTTGCCAAATGCACACATTTCATCTGATGGCAAAAAGTGTCATAAACAAAACGAAACACACGTGAGAACACAGCCTCCCCATGATTTCCCGATGTGAATGTTCGCATGATACAGTTATGCCGAGAGGGACTTTGCCTTTCTCTATAACGCCCTACATATGCATGCCATACCAGATAGCCACAGGAGGCTTGGGAGTCTGGTCTTCGGAACGAAACGAGCATTTCACGCCCGAGATAGTGGCGAGCAAGACACCAGACGAAGACGGACGAGCAGCCGAACAGTATCTCGCGACAGGTCTTGGACTCTGGTGTTGGCAAAGCTTGTTTCCACCTTGTCTCGAATCATCATGGGCCCCTTGTTTGTTAGGTGATACAGTCCGACAGCCATGTCGGTAGGAGTGGAAGCAGAAACGCGAGCAGTGAGTGGCTGTGACGTGACGGGATTCACTCACATGCGAGACATATGACAGGATCAAGTCACCACATTATGATACGATGGGATACCTATACTATATGATACAGCAACGACATGACATGTCCAGTGAGAGAGAAGGCGTTTATCGCACGAGAAGTAAGGGGATGCCAAGAAGCGTTTCTGATTCCCAGCACATGAGGATAAACCTGGTTTTATCAGTGATGGAAGGTGGCCGTGGATAGAATGTGGCTTGCAGGTGCGGGCTGATGAAGGGCCAGTGTGCAATGTTTCTGCTACATTTACAATATCTATGGGAATCTATGGGACGTGGGGGGCAAAAGCACAGCTCAAGTCTAGACTCTTCTGACATATGGATGCCCTCAACACTGCCGGAGAGATGTGCTCTATTCTTAGAATTGTAGGAGAGATCGACTCCGGGGTTGCTAGGGGAAAATAGGCAGATTAGGGAGGCAGGTAGGAGTTGCGGGAGACGTGCGTCAGCGATTGGCGTGCCGGAGGGAGGTGAAGGCTGGTTCCCGGGATGGATGGATGGTTCATGCTGGTAGGCGAAAAGATGCAACTCGAGTCGAGTGCCTGGCTGGAGTCTTCAGAGTTGTTCTAAACCCAATCGATCAAGATGTCTTGAGGAGGTTCAAGGAGAGAGCGCTTAAGTAAGCGGCACAATACATGGTTGACTGGCGAGGAAGGAGTCTACTGCATAGTAACCCTCTGCAGCACGATGCTATGCAGGAAGGTGCTGCCAATGCAGGCGGGTGGTGCCTTCCAGTGCAAATTTCCGATGCGTGTCACAGACACCCCAGCCGAAACACTCTGCGACGCAGGCGCGACCGACCAAGACGGACGGACAGGCGGCTGCAGCCAATGACAGGCGACATTACACTGTGAAATCAGTGGGGCCAACCCCCAGTCCACCAAAGCAACTTTGACAGTCCCCAGAAATCGAAACACGCCTCTTTCTGGCCCCTTACCTAACACACACACACACACACACAGACGCACACGCAAGATCTCTCCATCTCTGTGTATCTCTCTGTCTACACTACCGTACGCAGCATCTCAGCCGCTTGATCCTTTTTACCGCCACGCCAATGCCAACGTCCAGAAAGGGACTGGCCTCGAACAGCTGAAGCCTGACGCTCTGAAGCCGCCCGCTTCGCCAACACAACTCGAAGCACGCGAAGCCCTCGAGAAGCTTGTGCATCGCGAAAAGTGGCCTCATTACCCACTCGCCTCCCCTGTCCAATCGGTCGATCACTCGCCATCACAGACTGCTGAGGCTTCACATACGTTCACATTGACGTACTCGACGACAGCATTCACAGCTCTCTGCGATAGCTCCAGTGGCTCTTCAAACATCAAACACCCCCAGACTCCATCCAAGATGCCGCCGGCCGCCGTGTCTCGTCTTGGCCATGTCTTGCCTCGATGCCAGGGCGCTTCACTGACGCAAGCAGACTCCATTGCTTGGTGCCATGGAGCATTGGCAATGGCAATGGGCTCATGTTCAAGACGATGTGAAAGCTTGGATGGAGTACCGGTAGTGTGTTCATATTGTCGTTGTGTGTAGTACGGTGGGCTTGCTGTATTGTGTATGGGCCGAGGTGACGACTGGGCCACAGCCGCCCTGTTCCATCAAAGTCCGGAACGGGCATCTGACCCGGCACTTCTAACGGCCTTCCCCTTGTCCTCCGCCTCCCTCCTCCTTGTGCCTTGCAGCCGCTGCTCTGCTAACCCTGGACTGGACTGGACTGCGCACTGAAGACGGACAGACGTGCCTAGGCCTGCAGGTACTTCAGTCGCTGTGTACTGCATAGTAGTTTCGGTGTTCCAGCCTCCAACACCCCAGCCCGCCATCTAACGTTAGTCCGGATTGAGGCTACGTTGTTTCGACTACAACCCGAGTCTTGGAGCCTCTCGTTCTGCGCACACGCCCCCGTCGTGTGTCATTCTGCGACGCTGCTGGCTTTCATTCACTGTCCCTTCTCTCTGTGGTGGTAACTTTAAGCGTTGAGGGCATACGCCCGCCCCTGGCATCGCCTGCCCATGCTCAGACATTCTCGGTACACGCCCTCCTGGTCCGGGGGTGCATCTCCTTGCAATTCGTTCTTCTCTTTTCCCTACCGTACTCCCTTCGCCTCAACGACAATACCTGGCAGCTTGAGTCTCCTTGGACGCAATCTCCACCCAGTTTCTACTTTGTTCCGTCTCTTTTCACAAGTACCGTACCACCCCAGGAGGGCCCTCATCTACCATTGATCTCCCACCTCCCGGCCACGTTCCCTTTCTGTGACCAATCTCTCTTTTCCTCGTTCTCTTCTTTCCCATGCGCGCATGAGTCTCCAGGATAGCCGTGCCCCAACTAATAACTGTGTACATCCTCCTAATTCTGCTGGGTCGAGCGAAGCAGGGCAAGCAACAGCAGCCGCCGGGTGCAGGCATTGTGTGCAGGTATGATCTACAAGAAATCAGCTTATGTTTCTGGCGAGCATCCCGCTTGGCGTCTCTCATAACCACCCGCCTTCCCGTCCCCCCCTTCTGCCCTCTGTCTGTCCTGTTTGATTTGCCTTTTCTCTCTTCCCACACCCGCTCTTTCTTTCCCTCGTCGTCGTCGCCGTCGCCGTCGCCGCCCTCCTTTGTTCCTTTCGTCGCGGTGCTGTGTTTGTTGTGTTTGTCGTGCAGTGTTGCTGCTGTTCGCTGACCATCTCGTCCTCGCGGCAACAGCAGACTTCCTCTCACGGTCTTTCCAATAATCTAGCGCTGTATCATTTTACAACTGTATTCTCTTCAACAACCGACGCTCTCTATCGATGCATTTGCGCCAGTTCAGCAGGCTCTGAATATACCAGATCGATTTACTTGTTTGGAATTGGGACTCGAGAGAAGATAATCATCCACCGTTAATTCAAGAGAGGAGGAATTCACTCCAGGGGAGGAAGAGAGTAGAAGGCATTGCCATCGGGGCGGCTGGATCTTGGTATCGGGTAGGCTTTGGAAGGCCTCACGGACAATCACCTCGACTCATACCGATTTCGATCTTGACGAATAGTTGCCCACAATGTCTTACTATGATGGAGGTTACGAGAAGCAGACGGAGCGGTCGAGATGGACGCCACTCACGAGGATGCTGTTGTCCGGAGAGATGACACAGGAGAGGCAAAAGGCTCTGTCAGGCAAAGAGAAGTTCGATCGATGGATGATCAACGAGGGCTACCGAAGAGTGTACGTCTTTCTCCAAAGTCTCATCCGAGAACATCGTGGTTGGTTGAGGAGAAATTGCTAATTACTTCCACAGGTTTGTGGTCGTCTTTATGGCACTACACGGATTGATTTTCGCCTTCGGTTTCGTCAATTACGCAGTCAAAGACAACCTGCAAGTAGCGCGGAGTACATTTGGACCAACTTACATGATTGCTAGATCCGCCGCGTTGGTTCTCCATTTCGATGTGGCTATGATTCTGTTCCCCGTCTGCAGGACGTTCATTTCTTTGGCCAGACAGACACCGCTCAATGGCATCGTCCAGTTCGACAAGAACATTACATTCCACATCACGACGGCCTGGTCGATTGTCTTCTGGTCCTGGGTGCACACGATTGCTCACTGGAACAACTTTGCTCAGATTGCCGCCAAGAACAATCTCGGAATTTATGGCTGGCTGCTGGCCAACTTTGTGTCGGGACCGGGCTGGACAGGTTATGTGATGTTGATTGCGTTGATGGGAATGGTCATTACCTCGGTTGAGAAGCCACGACGTGCCAACTACGAGCGATTCTGGTACACCCACCACATGTTCATCGTCTTCTTTTTGTTCTGGGCCATGCACGGAGCGTTCTGCATGATTCAACCCGACTTCGCCCCGTTCTGTATCTCTGTCGGTACCCAGGCTGTCGGTGTCTTCTGGCAGTACTGGATGTATGGAGGCTTCGTCTACTTGGCTGAGCGTGTGGCTCGTGAGATGCGTGGCCGCCACAAGACCTACATCTCAAAGGTCGTTCAGCACCCCAGCAATGTCTGTGAGATTCAGATCAAGAAGGAGCACACCAAGACCCGAGCGGGACAGTACATCTTCTTCAACTGCCCGGAGGTCTCCATCTGGCAATATCACCCGTTCACGCTGACCAGTGCGCCCGAGGAGGATTACATCTCCATCCACATGCGTGTGGTTGGTGACTTCACCCGGGCAGTTTCGAAAGCTTTGGGCTGCGAGTGGGACAAAAAAGCTGGAGGCTCTGCGGTGGTTGGCGTCAACAACGAGAACAACGATGTCGATCCCGCCCTGCGACGAGTGCTCCCCCGAGTCTACGTTGACGGTCCCTTCGGCTCCGCTTCCGAGGACGTGTTCAAGTATGAGATCTCGATCCTGTGTGGTGCTGGTATCGGTGTGACACCCTTCGCATCTATCCTGAAATCCATTTGGTACCGAATGAACTACCCGCAGAAGAAGACACGGCTCACAAAGGTCTACTTCTTCTGGATCTGCAGAGATTTCGGATCATTCGAATGGTTCCGCTCGCTGCTGCTCGCCATCGAGGCTCAGGACGTCGACAACCGTATCGAGATTCACACCTACTTGACTGCTAAGATCAAAGCTGATGACGCAACGAATATCATGATCAACGACGCCAACGCCGACAAGGACGCCATCACTGGTCTCCGTGCGCCGACCAACTTTGGCAGACCCAACTGGGATATGATCTTCCGTGGTATCAGGAAATTACACACGCCGGCCGAGGCGGGTGTCTTCTTCTGCGGTCCGAAGGGTCTTGGTAGCACGCTGCATATCTTCTGCAACAAGTACAGTGAGCCTGGGTAAGTTAATTGTTACTATTGTCCAGGAGACATGCACTAATTATTCGGATAGCTTCTCATTCGTGTGGGGTAAAGAGAACTTCTAAGCTCCTACTCGACCGACCGATCGCTTTTCCTTTTTCTTCATCCTCTTTGCGGACAGAGTAAATCGTTGGCCAAGGCTCTTCCCCGCCTCAAGTCGATAACTTTTCTCCTCGGTGCGCCGGACGCAAAAAGACGAAACTGATTACTGCTGCATCATGTGTGTGTGACATATTGGCTTATTCTCTCCATCGCTTCTACGGAGTTTTGTTGGTATACAGGTGTCAACGTCGGCGGGTCCCATCTATCTGTCAATCTAAATATGGACTACGGAGCAACAAGACATGACGGTCTGGAAGAAGCTGCAGCAAGAGAGTCACATGGGGACGAGGAGATGGTGTCTTTTGACTGGCTGTACTAGTTTAGCCTTTCTGGAGATGCCGAGAGTCAGAGTGGCGGGAGAGGAAGTTGGTTTTGCATCGCGGGATGATAATCTAGATTCACAGTCTTCACTTTCATCCTTGCTCTGCTCTGCTCTGATGCCCAGTTCGCTTGAGTAGAAGAGCAGTGAAAAGAGAGAAAGATAGAAGCGGTATACCTTGTCACATATCTTCATACATGTATGTAGCGTAAACATATCCATTACATTACAATCTAGACTTCAATTCACAAGTAATCTGACTGCATCTGATGGGCTCTCCAGTTGGTGATCTGACTTGTGATACCTAACTTGACTACTGAGCGCAATTGCCTTTTTTGATCTACTACTTCACAGACCTAATTCATTGCCCTACCAAAACCATACTGAAGCCATTCCCGGACAAGACTCCGAGACTTCAGACGACGAAGATCCCCTTCATGCCTTCGCAGTTCGCTGGCGAATTGTCAGGGGAGGTTACGTCAGCCAAATTGCGTCCTTACGATTGGCTGCTGCGGAGGATTCGAGGTTCGAGGGGCGGGCCCCACCCAACTTCACACGCCCCGAAACGCGCAGAGTCTTGGAAACGGGAGAAATGGTTCGATTTCGACGTAAGGTGCATAGGGCTCTTGTTTTGTGTCTTGTTTGCACTTCTTTGCACGCCTGATTGCTGTACTCTCTCTATACACTGTGCGAGCGAGCGAGAGATGGGACGTGGGAGGGCGAGTGCGTGTTGATTGGGCGGGTATCAGATGTCAAAGGGCATGCTATGGGACTTGAGGATGGGAAAGTTGGATGGTGGAATGGGAAGCTGGTTAGGGACTTAGACGAGGTGCTAATTTTGTCTCGTAGCCGTCTGTTCTGAGAAGCATTGCCTTGGACTGCTGTAATGATAGGGTAGATAGCCTTGGTAGGAAACAATATGTGGATTGATTCGAGAGTTAGCGGCATACATGTGCGGCGGGCATGGCAGCGGAGGAGATTGTGGCGATGGTTCTAGTGAGATGCATTGCGTGTGAAGCAGCAAGGATAGATACAAGTGCATGGTCGATCTGAGTCTTTGTCTCATCATGAACTTCCATGTTTCCACATGTCTCGAGGCGGAGTTGCAAGGAAGGCCTGATGAAGTTTTCCGGGCAGTGATAGAGCTACATGGCTTTACATAGGCACCTGATCATGATTTAATGTCTACACTACATTCCATAAAAAGTCCTCTTATGATCAATAGGCCCTTTAGGAACTCTTAGCTATAGAGAGGTCTTTTTCGATCTGGAAAAGTAATTCCCAAAGCTCGACAGCAGAATTCCTACGACACTCGCGGCGATCGAAATAGTAGACCAGGCGCTCGGGCCCTGCGAAGTACACGTACAGACAGCCGTCGCCGTGTTGCTAAGCGCCTTGAAGACGCTGAGGTCAAAGGCGTCTTCCTCGGAGTGCTGCCATTTCGCCGGCTCCGGCATTGGCCGGTTGGGCGAAGGGTACAACTGGTGGTAGATGGGCAGCAGTGTGGGGATGGTGTTGGGGAGTCAATTCACACCATTGCCGTATCTTCTATCATGTTTTTGAGATCGCGAATGTGTAGGTGTGAACAATGAATGGAAGGTTGATTGCGCCTCGCAGCATTGCAAGTGGGCTGAGAGGACTTATATGAATAAGCTGAGCCACTGAATCATAGTTAGGCAGTAAGGCTCATCCAGCACAGCCTCAATAGGCCAATCAATGCCATGCAATCGCATGTGTTTTGATCTCTCGTGATTTGCTTGAGCAGTTGAGTATGTAGTTGTATGTAACAAAGACGAATTCGATCATCATTGTGCCGATGCTGTCTGGAGATGCAGGAAGGCATGCAGGCCATCAATTGACTGATTGAGTTGCGGGGATTGCATGGCTGACACGAGGTGCTTACCTAGGTACCTACCTATTAAGTAACCTTGGAACTATACGTACGCCTAACAACATTACGGAACTCCTACTTAGCCTTAATGCTCACATCTAACCAGCCAGAGAGAACCATAGACATGGATGTCGACGACCGCAAGTCATTGGCCCCGCTCATCTACCGTCTGCCATTTGAGTTGCTGGCACTCATTGCATGGTTCTGCCCTCGCCAGCAGGACGTGTCTGCCCTGTCGCGAGCCAGTCGACGCCTGCACAAGTCTGTTGGCCGGCTCCTCTATGAGACCCAGGTATCTCAGGAGAATTATGATGTCGTCTTCTGGGCTGCCGAGTTTGGCCGCACAGGGACATTGAAGCGATGGATCTCTGCATGCGATCTCGAAGGCACCCGGCACGCTCCGTTAGACGTCTACTCCATCAACCGCGACGTGGACCGCGGTGGCAGGACGGTACGATACATTCCGGGGCCATTCGATCTTAGGGACCGACAAATGCATTCGCGCTTCTGGACGCCCCTGCACCGCGCCGCGCAGTTCGGCCACCTGGACACGGTCGACTTTCTGTTGGACCACGGGTGCGACGTGAATGCGCAGTCCCTAGGCCTCTCCCCGCACGGCCTGAGCTGCTTCCGCGATGCCAGGGACCGCGCGAATGCTCAAGTCGACGGGTGCGTCACCCTGGCGCCTTTGCACCAGGCCATAATCTCCAAGCAGGCCGGAGTCGCCAAGCGATTGCTTGAGAGGGGTGCCGAGGTCAACATCATGCTGCTTCGTCGCGAGGAGCCCTGCGGCGTCTCGGCGCTTCACCTCGCTGCGGCACATGGACTTGCACAGACGGTGACTGACCTCGTCGAGGGCGGGCATGCGGATGTCAACCAGCCTGACAAGGATGGTCTGCCGCCAATGCTCTACGCTGCGGAGCACGAAGCTAATCTCCAATGCATGGGCGCGCTGAGGGATTTGGGCGCTGACCTCAACATAGAAGTCGGTGGCGACGCAAAGCAGCCGCTGCTGGCTACACTCATCGAAAGAGTGAGGTGGAGAGCGGCAGCAAAGCTTATCGATCTGGGAGCTAGTGTGGATGTTGTAGGCGGGACGTCGACACTGCTGGAGTTGTGCGAGAGGGCGAAGATGTCGGTAATATACCCCGATACACTCGATCTTGACGCATGGGATAGCTTGGTCACACGGATCAAAGGGTCATCCCCCACTTTTGAAAAGCCTCAAAGTCGCGTCAAGAAGTTTCTGGCTCTTGCACGGAGAGAGAAACAACGAGCTCCTGGGGCGGTAAACTTTGAACAGCTATCAAATTAGACTAAGCAGCATGGGAAACACACGCCGCATAGGTTGAAGGAGAAAGCTTTGAACGAGGCGTTAGGTAAAATATATATTGGGCTGGTTATACAAAATCTATAGCGAAAAGTAGACCCTTGGCGACCGGCATCAAATATTGATCATGGCCGGTTTGTCTGGCCGCATATCTTCATCATCATGGAGATGAAATGCTAGCTCCTGCATGATGTTGACAGTCTGAACCGGACGGTCGGTGAAATCGCAATGCCCCTCATCCGGTAGGCAGCTCGATAACAATGTCGACCGTCCCTTATATCCGAAGAGAACTTTGATTGACGTTTGCGAAGCGTGATATGTTGCCTGAAGCGCCGATGCAAAGGATGTGATGAATGGCGATAGCTCCGGGCCGTCCTCTATGAGATCCATTCGATCGACGATTATTACAATGCGCATCCCATGGTTGAGAGCAAGTTCCAATACGACTTTTGCAATATTATCAATCAGATGTTGACCTGTCTCAGTTACATTGGATCCATTGTCCATTTGGATGGTGCTGAAACCAGGAGGAAGTGTGATGCTGCCAAATTCTGAAGAGCCCCCAAGCGACATTAAGCTCCGAAGTAAGCTTCGGAGCATCTCCAAGAACCCTTCAACTGGCTTGCCGTACGTTTCAGTTGGAAAACTGTATATGACTTTGTGGCAACGCGCAAGATAGTAGACCATCGCACATGTGAGAGCAGAAGTTTCGTCATCTGCAGCGTCTGAAGTTTGAAGTAACAGTATGCTCGGATCGTCTTCATTCCACCACATCGAAATTGCTTCCGGAACACGGGAGTCGCCGTAGAAGTGAAAGGCAAGGCCTATGTTATCTTGAAATATTTCTATTTGTGTGGTTGATGTCATTGACTCGGCAGAGCGAGTTGTCAGAATCTGCTCAACAGGAACATCCTCCAGTCTTTGGGACTCTGGTTGAGGATGACTGTTCACCGATCTCAGAACCTCCTCGCCTCTTTTTTCCGCTTTGTTGATGACAGCCTCAATAGATGAAGAGTATACGTCGGACAGGATGCTAGACAAGAATTTGGGTGACTCGTACGTCAAGTAATTCAAATTGCGATATAGCTCAAATGTCTCGTTAACAAGGTCATTGAGCATATTCTTATCGTGCGCCATCCAACGTCCTTTGTCTTTAACTTTCTTTGAGGCGCTTTTGACTTGTACCAAAAGCTTGGAAAATGATTTCTCGCTGCCACCGTCTTTGGGGATCTTGTTGTAGTCTCTTAATCGTTCCAGTGCTTTGCGACGTGAGTCGTGGAGTCGCGATATGATCCGGGCGATGAGAGCCTTCCTGCCTGGGTCGAAAGAGTGAAACTTTCCATCTTCGCGATCTGGGCCCCAGTAGTCTCCCCAGTCCGTGAGCACGAAGTGCGATGCTTCAAGCCGGAGCAAGAGTCCGTCGCGGTGACCCGAGTCATCCTCAACGATTTCCAATATAACGCCTCCAAAGTCGACTATGCCTTTCCAGGCAAGAATCACACCTGCGATGGCAAGAGCAGTTTCCATCAGAGATTGGAAAAACAAAGTCAGTCCATTATCTGATTGGAGAAGATGCTCGGGATTTTCATTAGGTTAAGCCTTTCTTGTAGCGATCGTGAGATGGAACGCTAGTTTTCATATAGGACTGTCGTGTTGGGTTGTCAATCAGGCTGCCTCAGCATGAGCTGCATTGGCAGTGTTCAATGGATACTTGGGGGCCGTAGAGGCGAGAGGACTGCTTTGGGCTGAGTGTTACCGTTATTCGCGGTAATAACCCTGTAAGTATTTGCCAATACAAATACGATTTACGCGATGCCCAAGCAGCCTACAGGCTCCTTCGAATCAGCGACGCCGATCCTACAGCCTGCATGAGACAGGCCATTGCCCCTGCTGTCACAGCCCCCAAAGCTGAGCCTGAGAGTTAGCCGCTTATGCACCCAGTCCACCCTCAGCATATTCTAGTGTGGCTAGTTGCGATATTGAATTATTATACCTGTCTCCCAAGCCAGTCTCGCCAATGTCTCGTGGCCTTTTCTCGATCTATCAACACGCTTGGCCGCGCTCAGGAGAGTCTCTATAACTCACACTTCATAAGATTTACCTAACAGGCATCAGTGATTACCGACGTAGATCAATTGGAAGGTTAGATCACCGTCGAAATGGCCTCTACGCCGGGACATATCGACGAAGGTCAGAATCTAGGTCAGATGAGTGGTGGAATGCAGGCCCGCACAAGTCGAGCACCTCCCAACTCCTCTGTTCCTTTGGTGGTTTCTTCATCCGCAGGGACTCACGCATTGGGTCGAGAACATGGTGGTCTAAATCTAGTGGACTATGGCGCAGATCAATTCGATTCACTGAACTATAATGGTGGTGGTTACTACGGCAGGGCTGGCGAGGTATTACCTAGCACGGAGGCAGACGCCCCGAAAGCCCAGCATAAAGTCTCAGACGACAAACGACAAGCACACGAAGGTGTGCTATATTGTTTAATGACTCAAGAACAGAAAGGTGGAGCTTGGCAACAGTATTACAAAGACCAGCCTTGGAAGGGTGTCGTGGACGGTCTCTCCAACTCAGAACTCGACAAAGAAGTGGATCAAACAACAGTGATTACATACTGCGCTTATGCAGTGGTTGAAAATAGAATTCCAAGGCTCGGAAATACAGCGCAAACATGGAAAGAAAACCCTGTCGATTTCGAGTTAGGAAGAGATGCAACTGTCATAAGTTATGACTGGCCGTCACTGATCCTCAATTCCCAAAATCTTGTTGAAGTCATGAAGTTGCTATTGGATTATTACCCAGGCCAGTTAGGGCGTTACGACTTTTTCAAAAGCGACCAGGACAACTTCGTTGCATTGATGTATTATTTCGGCGAACTGAAGGAGTATCTCAAGACATACCAACAATCAAACCCGTCAGGCCCGTTGAACTTAGAAATCGGAGATTGTGGAGCCGAAGAGATCCCCAAGTTGCTACAGGGACAGTTAGACCTAGGCGAACTGGCTCAACGTCGCTGTAATGAGTCAACGGCCAGGGATATCGCAATCTTGCTTCGGCTTCTGGCCCCTATGTATCGAAACAAAGTGGCACCTATCTTTCCTCCCCTATCAAGCCCCGAGCCACTTATTAACTACGAGTCTCTTTGGTATTTATTCAGACCGGGCACATACATTTATGTGAACCACTCAGCCTTCCTCCAGGATGGATTATACGACCTTCAGGGACCCACAGGGAACAATGACAGGTCAGGCTGTGTTGTTGTGAACTGGCTATATAAGCCAAAGCAAGCAGGCATGAATAACACTCTACAAGAAGGCGTACATGATTGTATGGAGATTTCTGCATGGAGTATAGCATACACCGGCACGAAATTTCAACGTGTAGCACATGCAGCCATCATCCAGAGCTTCAAGGGGTTCAAGCCGGTGCAAAGTCTTCCAATCATTCCTGCTCTCCTACAGGACCAGCTGGACGGTGGTGCATTCCGCAATAAACTGGAAAACATGGGTCGCAAGTACCTTTCTATTCTAGCCGAACCACGCAAAGTAGCATATCGTGAGTACGACGATCCGGTTCGGGGATATCAAGGTCCAATCATTGTTGATTCAGACGCGTACAATCAACAAAGAACGCCAGTTGGATATGGCCAACGGGCAGGCTACCCTGGGCTCCAACTGATTGATGATGGAGGGGGTGGGAAGAAATTCGCTGATATTACGAATTTTGACACCCATAACAGCCAGGACTTCCAGAGAATCGACGAAGTATATCGATTATTGCCGTCGCAGATTGGTGGTCTTGCTCTGAAATCAAAAAGCTGGTTGGTTTTTGACATGGACAAGATCAGTGACGGTCCCCCAATCTCTCCTCCCAATCAATTGGGATCAGAGTTGGTCTTAGTACGAGACATCGATAAAGAAATTCTTCGTACGGTGCGCCCAAAAGGCGAACAGCGAGTTGCAATGAGTTCGGACTTCATTGCCGGCAAGGGCGAAGGTCAAATATTCCTCCTCTATGGACCGCCTGGAACGGGCAAAACACTGACTGTCGAGTGTGTGGCAAACGATACCGGGCGTCCACTGCTCACTCTAACAGCCCAGGACTTGGGAGGGACCAGTTTTATGGGACAACCCGTCAATATGGGCTTGCATGGCAATTCGGAGACTGTCCTCCGAACCTGGTTCTCATTGGCTGCGAAATGGGACGCGATCCTCCTTATTGACGAAGCAGACCTGTTTCTCGAGCAAAGGCGAGAGGGAGACCTCGACCGGAACAGTCTCTCTACTGTTTTTCTCCGAACGATGGAGTACTACAAAGGTGTTCTGTTCCTGACCACGAATCGACCAGGCCATCTTGATGATTCATTCATCTCCCGGATAACATGTCCAATTGCTTATCTCCCTCTGTCAAAGGAGACAAAAGCAAATATCCTGGACAAGTTAGTGCACAAATTCGAAGAGACGGGAACTATCTCAGTGGACACCTCAGCTACCGATTACCTCATTGAAAATTGTGACAACCTCAATGGACGCGAGATTCGTAACATCCTACAGAACGCTGTTTCAAGTGCAGAGGTCAGTTTACATGAGCCGGCGAGGAAAAGTCACACAATGCCGCAACAAAGGGGCAAAGACATGGTGCGAGTCAAAATGATCCATGTTAAGGCAGCAGTGGAGCGCCAAAAAGCGTTCCAAGAGTATCTGAAGCAGGTCAAGGGTGACAAAGATGAATTGACACGGGCGCGGAGAAAACAGGACTATCTTGTTCCACCATAAGTCCGTGAACAGAGTTTAGAAGGGTCGGACATTATCACATATATGTGATTGGTACTCTGATCTGAGTGTACGACTTCAACGTTTACTGCAATGGGACAGGATTAAGTCTTCAAACGCAGAGACCAATGAAATGAACGAATAGAGATTTGAGCCATGTGAAATGAGTTTATGAACAGTATAGAAAAGCCTTTGCGAGACCTTAAGACGTTCGATTTTGGCGTTTGGTAGTTACGTGCGAAATCCCGTGGTTATCTGTATCAGAAAGAAAGAAATTGATCAAGATGGCGTAAAATCTATTAGTGTAGTCCAATCTTGATCGATTTCCAGCATCGAGGAGTCGGACCACAAACCCATGCTATCGTTGGAATTGTTTCCGACACCCCAGGATGAGTCGGCTGAGATTAAGGGGGGAGTTTCAGGTCTCCAATACTCGATATTGTACGGATCCGTCGACAAAGGTAGAGTTCTGTCGTTTGGTGGCGGAAAGCTTGATTGGATGGGCTCAGAAGAACCGCCGCTACTCTGCGCGAACGGGAATTGTGCGGATGCAGGTTTGGGATCCAAGGGCCGCTTGACGACGGTGCCAAAATAGGGAATGCGAATGCCGTTGGATTGGCGGAAGGTCGATTGCATAGTGACAATCTCCCTGCCTGATAGGAACTGGATCGTCTCTCGAGATTGACGCGCAATTCTACAACCCTTTATCTCTTGCTTCTCAAGGATGCCCTCCGTAACAGTAACTAGATCGGAGTCCTCCTTGGAATTCTGAGATCCCATCTGTTCTGATGGCCGAGATGTGCATATCATTAGAACGACAACAGCGGTGAAAGCGATAAAATCGCATGTCCTGCACTCATAGAGACATGAACCGTAAACCTCGCATCGAAACGTGTTATATCGTCTCAACAGTTCGCGAGCCGCCTCCATGGACTTAAGCCTGCTGACGTGGTAAGAAGCTTCTGTAGAGGACTGTCCAATGAATGGAAGATGAATGTATAGTTTGACGTGGAAGAAGTAAAACTGCAGCACAAGTCTTTGCCTAAGATCGTCCGATTCTGCATCATGAGGTTCGCTTGGTACATCCCACCAACTATCTGGCATAACTGTTGCCACTTTGATCATCTGCTCGTCCAGGTCCATGGCATAGGCAAACGATGGGCTGTTCGGTGACACATCCCGGTCTATAACCTTCCCGGCGAGCAGAGCAGCACTGAAGCTGAGACGAAGCATTGGAGACGGCGATGTCTTGATAATATTTGCCACCGTGTCGCCAAAGTGCATATCGTTGAATCCGTAAGGAAGACCAATTAGCATGCTGGTCATGCGATCGCCAAGGTAGATTTCCCACCAGATGCCGCTCTGCGCCGGAGATTTGGCATCTATCTGGTACAGGCCCTGAAAAGTCCGTTAGAACTGACCGTGGGTTGGATTAGAATGCACGATACCATTACCTGCGCGAATGTCATGGCTTTCCGCCACAACATCCATGCTTTTCGAGGTTGACCAATGTCCTTGTGCACTTTGGCTAGTAGTACTAGACACCCCAAGCCTTCGACTGTAGTCATATATGTGAACTCTGATGTGACCAGACTCTCAACGAGGGCATATAAATCGTCGCCGTCGGATGCACTGCGGGCGAAAGCAACGGCAAGAGTGCCCAGATCGCTCGGGTTTCCGGTTGTATAGACTCGTGCTGCAAAGTCTTCTATGGATTCGGCGGCTGGTGCTCCAGAGAATGCACGTATTTTCATTCGGTAGTTACGCCACCAAGCTCCATTGTTCGCAAACATCAGAACCATGGCATCATAGCTAGGTAAGGCTGCGCGTAGTGTCTCGCAGATGAGTTTCGCTTTGACAACAGGGTCCCCTATGGCATTTACATTGCTTGGCAAGGCTTTCATTTCGCTTGAGAAATCCGAGATATCGCTATGCAATACCTCAACGTCTTAGGATGGAGTTTGGCTAAAGCAGAGAGTAACTTACTTCAGCATTGCGAAGAACTGATACAATTGGAACTCGCTGGTCAATGCCATCACCTGGTGGGATTATGTCTGAATTCTGATCGAGTTGCTGGCTGGGCAACGGCGCATTCTGCTTCTGTGCTGTTTGGCCTGCTGCCCTCAACGGTATGGCTCGCACAGCGGATGAGGCCCGGTTTACAACATTTATCGGTTCCCTTTGACCGACACATCGAGATCCGCGAATGATACATGGACGACAGCTGGAATGCTCTTGGCTAAAGTAGCAACGTATTTTGCGACGGCGGCCTAGCCAGGAGGATTAGTATGAGTCAAATAGGATTGAAAGACTGTCGTTGCTTGAATTAAGGACAGAAATCGGGAAAGAAACCTCATATCGCACATTCAACGCAGCTCCGTGTGCCTTTTCGGATCACTTTCGATGGCCACGGGAAGGATAGGGCGGGCAAACTGGATCCGGGTTCAGCCATTATTGTGTATGAAATATTGCTATGTATGAAGAACGGCACTCTCCAGGTCGCCGTACTCTGGACTCGAAGAAACGCCGACCCTAAGTGGAGAAGGCGGACAAACAGGGCCAGATGGTTGGCTAACACAGGCGTTTCCGTCCATTGCTCCGTCCTCCGTCCGCACACGTGATCGAATCTCGGGATTTCCCAGCGACGCAATTGGACATTGGTCAGCCCAAAGACTGATAGAGTTTTCTGGGGTTGCTGGGAATGCACCACCAGCTCGGACAAGAGCGAGCTACCGTAGACCGGAAATTCGCCAAGTCAACACAAGAACAACCGGCCCGGACGAACGACTTGCGTAGAACGTCTGAGAATAAAAGTATAAATAGACATAACCTATTACACTGTGGGCTTACTTATTCTTGGCCATCACAGATTTGGGCACAGTTCATTGATCATTGCAACATAAACATTTGATTTAAGATATACTCTTCTTTCCACGAAATATCACCAACCTTCACGATGCAATGGTTTATCACAGGCTGTTCCAGTGGTCTCGGGCTTGAATTAGCACGAGCTGTCTTAGACGCGGGCCAAATTGTAATTGCGTCCTCTCGTCGGCCAGACAAAACACCAAGCTTAGTGGCCGAGATCCAAGGGCGGGGTGGTCAATGGATAGCTCTCGATACAGCCGGCCCCGATGTTGAGAAGGTCATCGCAGAAACTGCTGCCAAGTACGGTCCAATTGATGTGCTCGTTAATAACGCAGGATATGGCACAGTAGGCCCACTGGAGACTCAGTCTACGGGAATCATGCAGAAGATGCTGGCCGCGAATTTGTTTGGGCCAATTCGTGCATCGCAGACCATAATACCGTCTATGCGAGAACGAAGAGCTGGAACCATCGTCAATGTGAGCAGCGGCGAGTTTTGGTTTGCGCACGCAGGTATCGCTATCTACGGCGCCTCCAAGTTCGCCGTCGAAGGAGTATCCGAAGCGCTTCAGAAGGAAGTTGCCAACTTCGGCATCCGGGTCTTGCTCGCTGAGCCTGGGGGTATGCGCACATCCCTCATTGATCCAGCTAAGCCAGAGCTATTTGCCGCGATGCCTGAGACATACAAGGACACCATGGTTGACCACACTCTAAAAGGGCTGTCGATGCTACATGGAAATCAGAGTCTGGACCCTAAAAGAGTCGCTGCTGCGATCGTAAAGGAGGTTCTGGACCCGACACTCAGTAAAGATGGCAAGCCTATGCTGAGAATGCCCCTCGGAAAGGAGTCTATAGGCGGGATGAGGAGTAGGGCTGACGAGTTCAAGGAGACAGCAGAGGTCTTTGAGACCCGCGCACTGGAGTGTGACTTTCCAGAGTGAATAAGCTAGAAGATTGACAGTATAAGACTTGAAGCAGGGTTGAAGGTAGATGATTTAGACAAATGAGACCAATCACAACACAAGGCTGTTCGTACTCCGCAGTAATCATCAATTTAGGTAATAGCTCTCAAGTAAAATAGAAACTAACTACCTCTTTGCTAAGAGCTAAGATTGAATTAAACAAATCTGTGTCAAAATCACTGCAATTATTAAACCAGAGTATCCTTTGCGTTCAGTTGGCTTGTTCGCTGCGACCTGTTCGGTATGACTTATCTGGTGTGACTTGCTCGGTATGGCCGGCTCGGGATAAACTGCTAGCTGCGCTCGTAAGGATTGGGTGATCTGCAGCATGGAAACGCACAGCCAGGTTCTCGCTCCTATGATAGGCCCAACAGCAGCAGCGGCAAAGGACTATTCGGCCATTATTGCGACATTCAATCCATGATCGCACATGATCGCACACCTCTAGAGTTTACTAAGGCAGCAAGTGTCGGTCGCCTTTATCTATTACCTTATCATCACGTCGAGACGTTACGCGGTAATGATTTGTTCTTCTTTACCCCGCTAACATCATCACTTCACTGTTCTCAACTGGTCTGTCCTGGACGGTTTTTAAATCGGCTTCAGGTCTTCGAATAAAGAGCCGTCACCTAGTCCCATAATTGTTACGATTGATCTGATCGCTATGAAGGAGAAAGCAGAAGCCCTTGCTACCTCAACTCCTATGTCGTTCACAAATGGACCTAGCTATGAACGAGATGTGCCGTTATCAAGGCGCCTCGGTTGGAAAATGCCTTGGTTGCTCGTTCCACTCGCGTTGGCAGCCTATTTGTTCTCAATAACCTATCCAAATTCATCATCCTGGATTGCTAATCGCCAACATACGCCGGTCAGCTCTCCGGCTATATGTGCGCAGCCGGCTGCACTTCTGCCTACAAACACAAGTTCGGAGCTGGACAAGGCCTATAAGTACCTGTCTGATTCTGCTTTCCGCAATGCCTCGGTTGAACGTTGGTCGGGAGCCGTGAAGATCAAGACGGAGACCTTCGATGATCTAGGAGAGGTGGGCGAAGATTCAAGATGGGAAGTTTTCTTCGATTTCTATGACTATCTCCAGAAGACTTTCCCGTTAACTCACAAAACTCTGAAAGTCGAAAAGGTGAATACGCATGGTTTATTATATACATGGAATGGCAGCGAGTCTCAGCTTAAACCCACGCTGCTAATGGCCCACCAAGACACCGTCCCTGTACCCGCTGACACTATTGACGCATGGACCTATCCTCCTTGGAGCGGTGTGTACGATGGCAAGTTTGTTTGGGGCCGTGGAGCGAGTGACTGCAAAGATCAGCTCACTGCCATCCTTGAAGCTACGGAGTTGCTGCTGGGAGCCGGTTTCCAGCCCCGGCGCACTATTTTGCTTTCCTTCGGCTACGATGAAGAGTCCTTTGGCTACCATGGCGCCGGCAACCTGTCATCTGTCATTCGTGATCGCTATGGTAGTAGCGGCGGCCTGGCCGCGCTGGTAGACGAAGGGGCGCGTTTCGAAAAAGCCTGGGGAACCCTCTTCGCGAAGCCTGCCACAACAGAGAAGGGCGCTACCAATGTCGAAATCGTCATCCGCACTCCAGGGGGGCATTCATCAATCCCGCAGGATCACACCGGTATTGGCATTCTCAGCGAGCTTATCACCGAGATCGAGGCCACCCAGTATCCCACGCACTTGGACGAGAGGAATCCTTACTATACACAGCTCCACTGTGGTGCAGCACACTCACCCGAGTTCCCTACCAAGCTCAGGAAGTTACTTGCACAGCGCCGACCTGCCTCATCTTTACAGCATGGGTGCCATGGTAGCGTCCGTCGCAAGCCAGACCATCTTGCACTCGAGGCTGCTAAACAGGGCCCGGACGTCAAGTATCTCATGCAAACTTCGCAGGCTGTTGATATCATTTCGGGTGGCGCCAAGGTCAACGCTCTGCCCGAGCGCGTTAGGGCCGTCATCAACCACCGTGTTAACATCGGCGAAACGATTGATGTCGTCCGCGATAGACTGACCCAGATCGCGAGTAATGTAGCCAACAAGTACAATCTCACTCTACATGCTTTCGACGGCAAGGAGGAGTCATCCTCGATTATCCTTTCGACCCGCGTGGGTTTTGGCCTTAATCCTGCGCCTGTTACGCCGGCTGATGGCTCTGGCGTCAGCCCATTTTCCATCCTTGCCGGCAGCGTTCGCGCCGTATTTGGCGAGGAGACTATCGTCAGTGAGTAATCACATTTCTTGAGATTGAGTCTACTTCATGCTCTCATCCCTGGTTAGAGTGCTCTCACGTCACCCTTATGAGACGAAGCTAAATTCGCCGAGTCCTGTCATGCTAAAATCCAAATGTATGCCGTATGCTGACCAGCTGGCCAAAGCTCCGGGTATTCTCACAGGCAATACAGATACGAGGTTCTTCTGGGACTTGACAGAGCACATCTTTCGCTTCGATCCAAGCTTCGACGCCGACGAGAGCGAGCCCGGTTTGGATGCAATTCATACTATAAACGAAAAGGCTAATGTGAATGGTCACATCAACTCTGTGAGGTTCTTCGTTCTGTTCATCCAGAACATCGACGAGGCTGAGCTCTGAGTAACCGCGGTCTTTATCGACGATAGTCTCGTGACTGGGTGGATAGGAAGGAGGGAATGAAGGCTTAGTTGACTGACTCTAACGCTGCCATTGGGTCATCCCAAAGAATCGAGAAACGCGGGTTTGTATGTTCCCGAGGGATTATAGAAGCAAAGAAGTTCAGCAAAGACGTAGAATGCTAGAATAGTGTTGACCACGATAGCATTTTCCAAGCCACGTCTGAATGTGTTTAATCTCGCTGGACCTAGGAGAAAACCCCAGATCGTGACAATGACTCCAAAACAAGCCACAATGTTGGTTGTGACGAATATCCATTGTGAAGCCCCTTCGGCTTTCCTAGCCTTGTCCAACACGGAAAAATAGCCAAAGCCAAGTACACCAGAGTTGAATATCGCGAATGCTACTATCCAACCATTGTTCATATGGAAAAGTTTGAAGGCAATGACCAGAATGATTCCAGAAAGGATCATAGGGGGAACAAATATAACTATGATAAAGGCGAGCATGTAGACACAAAGGACCGGCCCTTGAAAATATCCCTCTTCAAAGCTGGTCTCGTGGTGGAATAGAATTGCATAGAAGCTCCTAAATCCAGCACAATATCCAAGGTAAATTAAGGGGCCTGCAATCACTACTGAGATGATCACGCCAATCAACTTGTTTTCTAGCTCTACTTTATGTGTACAGGCTGTTTTGATAACCAAGACTGCCACGTTGTCGTCGAGTTCGTGAAGGTGAAAAAGATAGAGCAACAGCTGGACCGATGACCATCCCGTCAGAAGAAAGGCTGAAGCGACCCGGATGTCCCAGGGGAGTGTTATTGCAGAAAGTTTGACCATGACTACAAGGACAGAAAAGATGGTTACCAAATCCACCCATTTCTCTCGATGGGCCAGAACGTTTGTTCCAAGAGCTTTACGAAGTTGAGAGAGCTTTTCATCGGAAAGATTATCTTCCACCGTCATACCTGCTTCAAGCAAGCTCATCCGTCGTCGTGACACGCCAAGTTCCGGCTCGGGTGATGTCGCTACTGCTGCGCTCCTCTGCATTTCTATTCGGTCTGATGATTGGCCGGGCAATAGGTTGCTTGTTCGTACAGGCACAGTCCCACGACTCTCGGTTTCGGACGCTGTCTCGCTCAAGAAGCTTGGCGATAGCAGTCTTTTAAGCAGATCATGATTACCACGCTGGTCACCGTAATGATCGTTGGCTCGGAGGAGAAGTAGTGCCGCAGCATTTACATGCCAGTGCCTCTTCCATCGACGGTTTCGATCGCTGCTGATGCGATAGAATGGGAAGCGACGAGATAGCTCTGGAAGCGATTCCGCTCTTCACCGCCAAGCTAAACGCCTGCACCAAAGTGAAGTAGATCACAATAGCCTCGGACACACATGCCAAAGGATTGAGCCGCCAGAATACGAAAGTCCACGGCATGATCGTGTGGCAGTCGTCATCGTGCGGGGGACTGTAGAAAAGGCTCCCGTAAGGCTGTGTGAGCAAGCAGAGGCTAAGTGTGAGGAACATGCCCACCACATTTTCGAGTGAGAACTCGTTGTTAGAGGAGCATGAGGTTGCTGTTAAAGAGTCGGGTACACTCTGATTATTGGTCATCATTGCCATGATTATTGTATATCTTTAAATGTCGGAAAGGTGGAGTAGAGCATCCTCATTCATGTGCGTATCCAAGGCGGAGGGAGCCTACAATGCCCGCTTTTAAGCAACTCTGCAAGCAATGCTTGTTCAGGTCTACCTATGGATGTCTTTTAGTGCACATGGGGAAAATGTCTATATAGTCCCGGCCGATTCGTCATTCTACATAGAAAAAAAAACTAATAAAAGCACATCTGCCGCGTGGCCGAATCTTGGGGCTTTATGCTAGTTCTACTTGTAGTAACTGCTAAGCGTACGTGCGGAAGCACCTCACGATTGGGTCGTGACGACCACTTGTGGTGGCTAAGATGCGATGGAGGGTGGTGTAAGACATTATACAGGCAAATCGAACCTGTCATGTTGTGCGGATTTGGACCTGCTGATGCGGAGTTGTCTCATTGCAACCTTGTTGCGGCGCACCGCTCTGCAGCTGTAGCGCAATAATGGCTTGACTGCGCCCCAAGTCACAGCCCCCAAAAGAAACTGCCTACTTACCAGGTACTGTACAGTTTATTGAGTACAGTACCTAGGCGTCTTTGCTGCATGATAACATGGAATTGGCCGCAACAGGGAACTGACGAATCGCATCGACAGCCCTTTCTTCCGTCCATCTCAGCTTGAAAAATATAGGCTACTATGACATTATTCTGGAGTGTTTGACTATTGACCGCGTCTCTGTCAATTCTGCACGTTTCATGCTCACACAATGACTCCGAATTCGGCCGCGAGAACCCTTATCGAAGACATAAGCAATGGAAATACTCCAAATGGAAGGATTGGGGGCCATATCGGTGAGAAGCTGCAGCAGGCTCTAACTATGTACCAATATTCATTCCTTTTGGCTCCAAATGACTGCTCCTAATCAATACACAGTCTATCTGATCAGCTATACGATAAAGACAGTCAGTTTTTGTTTGAATTGATTCAAAATGCCGATGACAACAAATACGAATGCGAAAGCCCGACTCTGAGCTTTACGTACAAGCGGGGGAGCCTAAGAGTAGATTGCAACGAAGTTGGCTCACAGAGAGCAGTGTTCGGGCAATTTGTGATATTGGTAAGAGCACAAAGGCTGGGCTTGGCAGATCTATCCGTCACATTGGCGAGAAGGGGATTGGATTCAAATCGGTCTTCAAGGTTGCTACAGCGATCTATATTTCCTCACGCGACTTCACCTTCAAATTAGACCGGTCTCAAGGCAGCATTGGCCTTGTTGCCCCCACCTGGGCTGATTTCCCTGAATCAAAGATACCTGGCTGTACCTCATTCTACCTCCAACTCTCAGAGAGTTGCGATGAAGCAAAAATCATCGAGGACTTTCAAACGCTCAGCCCCCAGGTGCTTATTTTCACTCGAAAACTGAGAAGAATCGAAATTAGAGTCGAGCAGGGCGCCCAGAAAGTTTAGAGTGAAGTCCTTTGGCGCAGCGATATCCATGAGAATGGAAGTACAATCAGGCTGTTGCACAGGGGAAGTACAACCTCGCGTTATGTTGTTACCACACATAACCTGCCCCAACTACCAGAAGAGGAGAAGCGGCCTGGCTGTTCAGAATCCCAGATCTTGTTGGCCTTTCCAATCTTGGATTTAGAGGTGTCGCCCGCATTGAACACCCAGCCGGTCTTCGCCTTTCTACCGATCCGAGACGATGGATTTAAGGTTAGCCCACCGCTGAGCTTTTCACGTCAGATAAAATTAGGCAATATTAAGTGTATAACCAGTTTCTGCTCCAAGGCGACTTTATACTTACGGCCAGCCAAGAAGAAGTAACCGATGCACCGTGGAACCGTGCCCTTCGGGACGCATCAGTAGATGCATTTGTTAGCGCCATTCACCACTTTGACTCTGTATCGCTTCGGTATTCTTGGACTTCAAATTGATCCCGATTATAACATCAGTGCGCTCAAAAACGTCCCCCAGGAGCAGCTTCAGATGAATGCCTGCCAATCTCCTAGCTTCTTCAAGATTGCATTTCCTTTGGAAGATCAGGGCAATATCTTGTTTTACTCCTACAATCGTCTAGTTCAAGACGAAATACGCTTACTTCTGGTACACCCCGGAACCGAAGATGATCAATTTCGTGCTGTCGTTTTTCAAACACCCCTTCAACGTGCAAGCAGCTTCCAAGCAGTCTCGTATACTTGGGGCTTTACGGAGCTGTCTCATTTGCTTTGGACCCCAGAAGGTAGTGTCGAAATGACGTTGTCGATGTATTCGACTTTACACTCCTTACCACACGAGACACAACCGTTACTGCTATGGGCCGATGCGGTCTGTATCAACCAGAAAGACATTAAAAAAAATGTCGAGCAAGTCCGCATCCTCCCGCATATTTCCAAGCGTGCAACATGTGTTCTTGCCTGCTTGGGAACTGACGAGAATGGCGACCGTGCCTTAGAGGCGCTAATGCAAGTTCGTGTCAATGAAGCTCTAGGGACTTTACCCGAAGAATGGCCATAGGAGCTCGCAACGATACCTTCTCACTGGGTCAAGACAGGCACACCACCAGCAGATGATCCCATCTGGGAACACATATTGAATTTTTTTGAGCGACCATGGTTTCGAAGAGCGTGGATCATTCAAGAGGTTGTCACTGCAGTTAGCATACGAGTAATATGCGGCAAGTGGATGGTGGAGTGGAACGACCTGTTTACCGCTATCAAAATCATTGAACGTGGTTCGCAAACTCTGCCGACTAAACCGTGCACGGTACCAAGCATAACGTGGAAAATGTTTCTACAACTAGCAACGCAGTGGGAACTCGAGGCCCAACATCAACGCAGACCCATGCATGAATTACTCGAGAACTTTCGCTATACAGAATCGACTCTGCAGCACGACCAACTTTTCTCCTCCTCGGGCTTGCCATTGATGGAAATAAGCCGGAATTTGTGCTTGATTACGATATCAGTTTCGAGTCTCTTGTAAGGCAATACAGTTGGGCGTTCATTAGGCAGGGCAAAGTGATGGACTTGCTTCACTGTGCTGGACTCGGTAGACCGCCAGGGGTGAAGATTCCATCCTGGATTCCAGACTGGACAACCCAAAGGCAGAACAGTCTTCGTTCATTATCAGGCCAAGGGATGCCATGCGCTGCTTCAAGACTTACTGAGCCTCGAATTGATTACGCCCAGGCCACTAATGACTTTGAGCTAAGAGTGCATGGCGTCAAGGTCGACACAATCACGGCTGTGAGTACTACATCGAACTTACCGCAAGAGCTCGTATCGTACCTAAATGAGATCGATGAGATGGTCAGACTCGCTTCACCAACTCAATATGAAGACCTTAGGTGGCAAGTGCCCATTGCAGGAGCTCTCAAAGAGCGAATCAAAGGTCATGACATGCATGATTCATATATGGCATTGTGTGAGTATATAGGTAAGAAGCCTAAAAAAAGTAAGAACAAGAAAAGGCAACGGAAAGGAGTTGGTGAAAGATTAGGGTCTACCAGAGATAAAGATGCGCTGTGGTTGTCGGGCCAGAACTATTTCCTTGCACTTCAGGAAAACCTGGCTGGGTGGAAGTTTGTACTAACTGGAAAAGGGTATCTTGGAGTTGCGCCACCACAAGCACGAAAAGGGGATAGAATTAGCATTTTTGACGGGGGCGTGGTTCCTTTTCTCCTTAGAAAGAGCAAGGCTTTCACAGGTTCTTTCTATCTGGTTGGGGAGTGCTATATCCATGGGTTTATGAATGGCGAAGGATGTAACTTGGGTTTGCCTGATGAACTGATTAAATTACGCTGATTGAAAACACCGAGATAGAGCGATCCCTAAAAGAAAGAAACGATTGGTAACCAGGGGTTTCTTCTCGTTTATTCACGAGAGGTTTTGAACCCTGGGAAACCAGTATCACCGGTAACTTCAACAATCTGTTTCAAGCCTCAGTTCAATTTGATCCCCACAAAACAGCTAAATATGATTGGTATTTACAATCTATAATTTGTTCAGCATGCCTGTCCTTCTGTGACAATTGATATACTCAAACAATTGTTGCTCTGGCTCAAGAACAAGCACCTCATGGAACAATCTCAAGCTCATCTTGTCACCCAGCTTCTTAGCGTATTTGGCGAATTCACCAAAAATGGCTATGTGAGTTGGATGGCTTTTGCTCCAGCTTTCCAGAGATCCAAGACAATCAAAATATGCCAGCCCAAAGGTCCGATCTTTCTTAGCTTGAAGATTTACGGGATCGACAATATCCATAAACCGGCAGCTGATGCATCCCACCTCATCGCCGTTATCTCGGAGATATTGCATGCCCTTGGCAAGTGTCGGGTGCATTGAATCCAGGTAAAGATTGCGCTCCTCGGGAATTGTTGCTGACCAGTCTTGACCAGATCTAATGACTGCAAGGTTTCTTGTGCCAGAGATACGGACGCGTTGTCGAGCCTCTCGACTCTTCGAGGACAACTCCCCACATGGAATATAAGCCGCCTGTTTATCGAGACTGTCGACTTGAGAGATAGGAAGGCGATCTCGCATACTTCCCCAGTAGACGTGCTCTTGAATTGGGCCACTGATGCTCTCTCTCAAATGAGCTGCGCCTTCTGGGACTGTTGTGGAGAAGACCGTCTCAAAACGTTCGATAGTAGGAAAAAATACCTCCAAGAACCAACCCTGTTGCTGTTGAACTTCTCGGTCTACAGTGGCCCACCATTTGTGGAATCCACTTGTTGTTGACCACTCCTCAAAGGCCACTCTACTCGGCCAATAAGCTAAAACAGCAATGTTATAGAACCCATCCATATCTGTCTCGGCAGCGACTTCGAAGAATCCGGGACGTGAGCCAACATCCACTATGTCCGAGGTAACATATGAAGAAATCGTTTCGACAGCCTGACCATCGTACACATCTCTCGCTGCGTATTGAGCGCCAATGACAGCCAAAGTCAAGTCTTTAGTGTCTCTTGGAAAGCGCGAAGTGTATAGCTCAAATGGAGGCTTAAATCCTGGAGGAGTCTTTGCGGATAATGTACGTTCTGTCTTGAGCCATGCCGGAATTGCAGATTCTAGCTCCATCTCAACCGTCGAAGTTTTTCTTTTCTTGTTGACAGTATTACTGGACTAGCTGGGCCTCAAAACTCCTGACAGCTCGTGGACATTTATCTTGCCAGACCACATCCTCATTTCACTCTGCGGCCAGATTTGGACTACTAGAGAAGGGCGGGACCTCATGGTGGATCCACACTACGGCTATTGAGGGCTCCCTACCAAGATTGTAATAGATGTTATTCCGGCAGCCGTGGTAGTACCAGACGAGAAGAATCGTACTACTATTCTGCCATGAAATCATGACTCTTCTCACTAATTAACCTCAAGCACCCCAGCGAAAAGTCTTAACACATTGATTTTGGATGTGGATGTGGATTGGTCGAGCAGATAGGATAAAGCTGGCCCGGGGGTGGGTCCACGCCCCTTGCGGATCTACGCAGGCCTAACCCCACATCATGGAGCCAGTGAGACTCGACTTGGGCGTCATCCATATCGAGCCATTGGCCAATGAGATGCCAACCTGTGACTTTTACATCAGAACAACGATCAACATGTGCGATAGGGTACTGCTCAACCGTCGTGGTGAATCAGATGAAACCAGATAGGCTTGCAATATCAATGCTATTCTGGTTACGAAGGCTTAGAAAGTCAAGATAGGATATTGCTCAACCGGGACGAGCCCATTGGAAGGCTGATCTGGGTCAACAAGCGAAGTGGCATTATGGCATGTTATATAAGATACAGAATTCTTCAATGCTTTCTAGGAACATAACTACCAAGAACTCAAAGACAGTTTCTTCCACTAGCTACCAACTGACTTTAAGAATCTATTCTACAGGGACAATCATGGCTCCCAAACTCAAGATTGCTGCCATCCAAGCTGAGCCGGCCTGGAATGATCTTGAAGGAGGCGTTACCAAGTCCATCGCACTGATTGAAGAAGCTGCGAAGCAGGGCGCCAATGTTGTCGGCTTTCCTGAGGTCTTTATTCCTGGGTATCCATGGTAAGTCGCTTGGATCGCGGGCACTAAGAGCCATTTCCCTTATGATCACCGTAAGCTGACACTCAGGGGCACAAGGAGCATCTGGGCCAAGTCTCCAACTGACAATGCAGCTTTCATGGACGAGTATTTCCGCAATTCTCTTGAGAAAGACTCGGACGAAATGAAGCGAATTTGTGCGGCTGTCAAGGAGGCAGGCATCTTCGTCGTGCTCGGCTATAGTGAACGGTATAGAGGAACTCTGTACATCGCACAGGTAGACAATCACACCACTTTTTTTTTCGTTTTTTTCTTAAGAACTTGACGTTAATATTTACCGCCTCTTTCATTACGCTGACCTTTAAGTTAGTCCTTCATCGATGAGAATGGAGACATCGTGCACCACCGCCGCAAGATCAAGCCAACACACGTCGAACGTGCCTACTGGGGTGACGGCCAAGGTGAATCACTGCAGAGTGTTGCACCAAGTACGGTATTCCCAAAAGTCAAAATCGGTGGCCTGAATTGCTGGGAGCATACTCAAACTCTTCTGCGATACTACGAATACGAACAGGACGTGGACCTGCACGTATCTAGCTGGCCGCCTCTGTGGCCGCACCCTCTCAAGGACGGCAAGCCCGATCCGGATTGGCCGGGTCACATCACCGATGATATTAGTCTGACATTTTCGCAAATTCTTGCTCTCGAAGGCACTTGTTTCGTCATGGTGTGCACGCAGGTTGTCAGTGAAGAATCGAAGAAGCGTTGTCGCCTGGACGAGTTCGGATACGCCACCAATAAGTCTGGTAGCGGTGGTGGCTTTAGCATGATCTATTCTCCTTGGGGTCAAGAGCTAGTCAAGCGCCTCCCGCCCGGCGAAGAGGGCATCTTGTATGCTGATGTTGATCTCGCGGAGAAGGTCAAAGCGAAGCAGAACCTTGACACCGTTGGACATTACTGCCGGCCCGATCAGCTTAGCCTACGCGTGAACAGGTATCCCGCCAGGCCTGTATTCTATGCAGCTGAGCCCTGAGAGGCCGCCGTTGCAATCAGTGGAGCACTTAACATAGGATCTGCTTTTCGGCATTTGAAAGTAGCTGCGCTAGTGATATCCCATGCCGCGGTGGTGGGATGGATGATAAGATAAGAATGTGGAGGTTTGACTTTGGTGCATTAGTGTGATTATGTTATCAAATTACCTACTATTGGCGGTATCTTGAGAACCCCGATAAATCGAGACAATCGTATCTATATTGCGCGAGGGCTTGCGTGACTCTTTGGTTGATGAAAAACTGAGCGCGGAGTTGTCTAACGGTCGTACATTTGAATCCACATACTTCAGATCATGTTAGCGCCATGGACTCAATCCCATTCACAGCATGAAGGCACAAAGAGGCAACGCGTATCTACAGCCTGTCTTGCTTGTCGCGGAAAGCGCATGCGTGTAAGTATGATCAGCTCCCCCATTGTACGCCCCTAGAAAGCTGGTCGATATTGACGCGTTATGTCGCTGTAGTGCGATGGTAAGCAGCCAGTCTGTGGCCCTTGTGTGAAAAGGGGAAGCGATTGCGAATATCAGCATGCAGAGAACAAACGCAGGTAAGCACTTCCGTGGCTATGCATGCAAAATGAATAGCTAAAATCTGATCAATCTATTTCTATAACTGTTAGAACGCCAAGCAAGAAATATGTGGAGTCTTTACAAACCCGGATAAGCCAGCTGGAGGCCCAGTTGGTCTCCTTGGGCTCGCAGATCGCATCTGCTAGTTCTCATAGTCTCGATACACAGGCATTGGAAACACATGAGTCCGAATCCTCACAAGAAGAGGACGAGACAGACCCTCTAACAGAGTTGACTGGCCGTGTTGGTCGTCTTACTGTTATCGATGATGGCCAGCTCCATTATTTTGGCTCACAAAGCTCTTACAACCTAGTTCAAGAGCCAACTCGCAACGCCACAGCCCACTTGCCATCCATAAAGGCGCGAAGACAAGGCTTGGCTGCAACGGTTCAGCTCGGAAAGCTTGTGACGGTGTCCAGTGAGGTTCAAGAAGAGTTGCTTGAGTTGTACTGGCGCTGGCAAAATCCCTGGAATTATGTCGTCCACAAAAATAGTTTTCTGAAGAGCTTCAAGGGTGAAGATGATGGACGTTACTGTTCGCCTCTTCTATTGTCATCAATATTCGCTATAGCCTCGCGATACTCTGATCTTCCCGAGCTTTGTTCCAACCCGGAGGATCCGAGCACGGCTGGCGAAGCATTCTGCGAGCAAGCTAAGATTCTTCTCTTGTACGAAAGCGAGGCACCCACTGTCACAACTGTCCAGGCTGCGTGCCTCCTAGCTCTGCGTCTTATGTCAGATGGTAAAGAGGCTCTGGGGTGGCTGTATTGCGGTAAGTGCTGTATACATAATCTTGTGAAAGACATTCTTGGTAACAGTTCTAGGCAATGCAACTAGAATGGCACACAATCTTGGGCTACATTTGGACTGTTCGAAATGGATTGCAACTGGGTTCTTGTCAGAAGACGAGGCAAAAATAAGAAACATAACGTGGTGGGGATGCTACTTTGTTGACAAGTAAGTTGTGTCTTAGCCTGACTGTCCCCACCATAGACATCAACAATGTTTGCTGATTAAATTCACAGACTCTTCGCGCTGGGCCTAGGTCGGCCAAGTAGCACTTCCAGATCCACCATTACCTGCCCAAAGCCACGCCTAGATGGCGATGAAGAATATGCTCCTTGGGCAGCCGAATCAGACCTATCCATTTCTCTTGGTGCTCACTCACACATTGCATCAACATCTTACTATAACTCAGAAAGCATGACGATTGCCTGTGAGGCGTTGGATATCATGTAGGGCAGGCAGATAACCTCGTGAGATGCAATTATTAATCAGCTGACACTTCATAGCTATGCGGCAAATAGCAACCTCTCCACTCAACAGCTCGAAGATATAGTTAGTAAAACAGACGTGGAATTGCAGTCATATTACAGAGCACTACCGAGTTATATGCGCTTGCCAACTTCATCCAGGGTACCCGCGCTCCCACATATCTACTTATTTCAGTATGCTCTGCCTAACGAACAAAGGTACCATGGCTCGCTGACAATACCCGCATAGCATACAGTATCACGCGCACTTAATACTTCTACATCGGCCACTCGTGCAGAAGAAGAAATCGAAACAAGCCATGAGCGACAGCGGATCGCCTGAGGCAAACAAGGACAATGGTGAAAAGCAAATGAACCAGCACATGGCGACATGTTGCCATTCAGCTTCTGAGATAACAAGATTGCTGCGACTATATAGGCAACACTATACTCTCGTGAGTCTCCCGTCATCTCTTTGCGAATTGGAGACGATGTAGGAGGTTACTCCTCGCTATACACTGGGAAGATATAGCAAGTTAACTCTAAGCAGCGTCGAGTTCCTATTGCGGCTGTACATCTATGTTTCTCAGCTGTTGTCATTCATCTCATCAACGCTGGACCATCGAGTCCGCAAAGGCGTCAAGCTATTCGTCACCTAGAGACTTGTGTAGAGGTGCTGCGGGACTTGAGAACAGCCTGGTGCGCTTGGAGCAACCGGGCTTTACGAGCCGTGCAATTAATGGCACGTGAATGGTACCATTGCGAGGACCTATCACAGCTTCATCATTATGAAGATCCTTGTCAGAATGGTGAGCTCGGTGGCGAGCTACGTGACAAAGGAGAAGTGACCTCAGTTGTGGGCGATGATCGAACGCATAACCAAAATGATACAGATGGAATCGAATTATTGAATGCTTCTTATACCTCAGAGATTGAGAAGCCAAACACTTACGATGATGCCAGCTGGTCAGAGATGACTGCACATGAAACAGACCCCTTTGCATTTTTGTTTGACGATACCACAATCAATCAGTCGGGTGATAACGAAGTTAGGGAATGGATCACCGAGCAGGGTTATGACTTATTTAATACGGGTTTCTGACTCATTTCACTCCTCAACCATATGTATCATCATCTGGTAACACTGTTAGCAAATATCATACGTCACCTATATAGTTTACAGTCACTAGAAGAAGATTTCATATGACTTCACTTGATATTCTCATGTGCTTGAGCTTTATGCGTTTTAATGCAAAACTTCATGAGAACAACTCTATCCTTAACGATATGCTGCCTTTCCTAGAATTGGTTTTGTACGAAAATTGAATGTCGCGAAATAGGCTCTGGTCCATATTGCCGTCAATTAGTTGTACGTGTCTTGCATAAGAAATCGGTTGATTATCAGCTATAATACATGACCCTCGACTACTCGGTATTTTAGAAACCTAGAATCTCTGTAATTCTATTCTAAGGTCAAATTAAACGCAAAGTCCTTGTTCAGTAATGCATACTTCGGTAAAGTTTTAGGTCCAATTGCACCAGTTCCCAAGCCATGATGTGCCCAGTCTAATCTAACCAACGGCTCTGTCTTCCTCAGTTTCTTCAGCTCCCATGGGTGAGCACAGCGATCGATATCAAATACGTCGTGGTAGAAGGCATTGAAACTGCAGCCGTCTTGAGTACCAAAATCAGCTCTGATAGACAAGTCCTTGTTTTGTGAGCTGCTGATCTTCACCCATCGCACATCGGCTCGGTTACCACTCTCTTGAGGATACTCGAAATACGTGAAGATTTCACTGAGAGATGCGTCCCAATTTCCAATGCGCTGAGACAATTTTCGGTCTCTGTATGCCTCAGAAGGTCCACGACCGAACCACGTAGCTTGGTCGAGGTCGGATGTCAAATGCATGTCAAAACCAATCCTCGCCAGAGTCTTTGGTGCATTGACACCGAATGGTGTTCCCGAGACTGAGATTTGAAGGTTCTCTAGTGTAAAGCGATAGGTTGTTATTGTATTTATTCCCCACTCCAAACCTTGTGGTGCCGCTCTTGCTGAAACTTCGATAGTTACGGCGTTATCATCCTTCTTGCTTGTAACCGACTTGGTCCAAGACTTGACGTGCTTCAAAAGCTTAGCCGCCCATTCAGTTCCGTCCCCAAGAGCGTCATGATCTGTCATAGGTCGATAGAAGCTTATTGTCGGCGGGCTAGAGATCATGTTTGTTCGCTCTTGACCTCTAGTCCATGACAGGAGGAGACCTCGGAGGCAGTCAAAAGTCCAGGTGGACTTGCTTCCGGATAGTTTCACCACAGACTCGGACAAAAACTCCACGGCAGGACATTTGGTGGGAGTTTCTTCTTGAGGTGCTGGTCCCTGTAACATGAATTGCGCCCCAGCAACTTCGTGGCCTTCTGGACCCCACAGTGTAGCTGTCCTTAGACTAAAAACGATGTCCAGGTAAGTTTCTCCGGATTTTAACCCAAACTTAGTGGTGTCGATCTGTACAGTTGCTGTTTGTCCTGGCTTAATACTTGGAAAAGAAATTTCTGTTGCTTCTGTGCGAAACCCGTCCCCTATTAGGTGCCAAGAGCACTTCAAATGATCAAGACTTGAGAAGTCATACATGTTCTTGAAGGTGAAGCTAGTTGCGGTCCCGTTAATAACGTGAACTGGTTCAAGAGCCTTTTTCAACTCTGCAAGCGCGGGCTTTGCTGTGTGGTCGGAAAAGTTGTATCCATGTGTATTCTCACGACCGTCGTTGATAATGTCGTGGAAGTCCCCACCATAGCCATAAAATGTCTCCCCATCCTCCGTCTGAGTCTCAAGGCCCTGGCTCGCCCACTGCCATACGAAACCTCCTTGTAATCTCGGGTATTTGTAGAAAAGCTCGATGTACTCCTTGATAGCTCCTGATCCGTTGCCGATGCCGTACAGATACTCACATAGTAGTATAGGTTTCTTCTGAGGCGAGGTAGCTTCCAGCTGTAAAACCTCCGGGATCTCAGGGTACATCAGACTATACATATCTACAACTTCGGCATCGCGGTCTCCCTCGTAATGAATGGGCCTCGTCGTGTCGTGTTCCCTGACCCAGTTGAATGCGGCAATTGTATTTTTCCCGTGGTAAGACTCATTGCCAAGAGACCAGATAATGACCGACGGGTGATTTTTGTCACGCGATACAATTTGTCGTTGTCGGTCGACATATGACTCTTCCCATTCAGTTTTGTTTGTAATCCACTCTGTGGCGCGGCCGCACTCTAAAGAGATGACCCCCTTCTTGGACAACTTCTTGTCCTCTTCAGTGAGAGCTGCAAGCTCGACGTAGGAGAAGCCATGTGTCTCGAGGTCGGCCTCATCCATTATCCAGAACCCTAACTCGTCTGCGAGGTCGTACAGGCGTGCATCATTAGGATAGTGGGAAGTGCGAATGGCGTTAATATTGTGTAATTTCATGCGTATGAGGTCGTTGCGCATGAACTCATATGGTACAGCACGGCCGAATTTGGGGTGATGTTCGTGCCTGTTTGTGCCGCGGAAAATAATTCTCTTTCCATTGACAGTGATGATTCCATCCTTGATCTCGACTTGACGGAATCCAACACGCTGAGAGATGGTCTGCTGGGTTCCGTCCCCAGCCTTCAAGATTGCACAATAAAGATATGGGGTTTCTGCAGTCCATTTCTTTGGAGCTTGGACGTCAAGTTTGAAGTTTACATTTCCCGTACCCAATGCCTGTTTGAAAGCCGACGCGACTTTGTTTTTCTGTGCATCGACAAGGTCCAGAGTGACAGTCATCGGTGCGTTCACAAGAACATCCACTGATAGTATAGCATCCACGTAATTATCGTCCAGAAGTGTTTCAACTTTGAAGTCCTCTATTCGCGCTTGAGGAAAGCTGAGCAAGTAGACATCACGGAAAATGCCGCTGAGCCACCATTGATCCTAAAGCTATGTCAGCAGTGATTCGCTACGAGCCAAGAGACTTTGGACGGACTTGGTCCTCAAGATATGTTCCGTTACATCTTTGGTATACAATTACCGAAAGCACGTTGGCCGATTGAAAGGAGACGTGAGGAGTGATGTCGAACTCGGACGGGTTTCTTGATCCTTGAGAATAGCCAATTTCATGCCCATTGACATAAACATGAAATGCCGAATCGACTCCTTCAAATCGTAGCCGCAGCTGACTTCCAGTAAAAGATTGAGGAATCTCGAATGTTCGAACATAATGACCCGTCTCGTTTTCGAATAAGGGAACATTCGGCGGATCAACTGGGAAGGGGAGGCTCATGTTCGTGTAACGAGGGCCAACACCATGGCCCTGCAGCTGCCACATGCCAGGGACTGCAATGTCTTCATATTGAGATAATGCGATGGATTCTCCCAATTCTGCAGCTGGCAAGCTCCAGGGAGAATCATATGCTTTGAACTTCCAAGTACCTGATAGGCATTTAGCAGTAGCTCTTTCTAGGCCACCAAGAACAGCGTCGTTGGTTGAATGGTAATTGAAGAATGAGCATCGAGGCGCTAACGTATTGCGATGGACAATTTTGAGATTGTTCCAGTCCGGTTGTTTGGATGAGGACGAAAAATCCACCAGGGATGACATTATTATTTTGGCTCGCGTGAGAATGAAGAGCACTGGTGTAAGGACCTGGAGAGACTGGGAGAGATCAATCCAGACTTATTTGTGACTTCTGTCGCCGTACGATACGGTCATGAGCTATGGATCCAGGAACACATTCGAGTTGAATAGTCACCTGAATACCGAAAGGGAGATGCGCGCTCGACAGCTGTCGGTCCGACAATTCTGGACCGTGCACAGCGAGAGGGATAAGTACTTGTACCTCAGTACTTCTGTAAGCGAAGTGTTTTGGTGGAGCTGTCAACCCGATAGATTGGAATGGTGGTATGGCGGCAGTCCTGAGTCAGGGGATTGTGGGGAAGCACACTCGATTCATGATAGTACACCTGATTTTACTCAAGCACACAAATCATGGAGGACGCTACGATGAGAGGATTATCTTCGCCCCTGACTCTCTCATTCGAGAACACGTTTTCTGAATATCAGTCGATTGAATGATGCGGCTGATAGAACCAATAGATGTCGGTCCGACAGATGTCAAATCGTCCATCTCCTGACACCAACTTAGACCAAGAGAATTAAGAGGACACTGGGAAGGCAGCCTAGACGCCTTCCCCTCCGTTCCCGGGGTCCGGCCATCCCCACTTCCGGTAATCAACCCAGAAAGTTGTCGGTCCGACAACATCTCCACTAAAGCCCATGTGGGAAAAGCTGGAGAAGTGACTGAGAATTTCACCAGATGCCAGGGCTCAGGTTACTTCCCCATGGGCTATAACACTAATTTAGACTCATAAAGGCACTGATTTTGGCTCATGTGACTCGGAAGAGCACCCCGGATTATTACGCGTTTGGTGGTGATGGCGCCGACCTTCGTCGACTGGAAGAGGTACAAAAAGATCGTCAGCGATCCTCACCATCCTTCCATTCATGATAGTCCCGAGTCATTATCATCAATTGATATCACCATTTACAATAATTATTCCCCTCTGTTACAACATTACACAACGCTATGGGTAGCGATCCCGAGCAAGATCCTGTAAGGGTCCAACAAACCCATCACTCCAAGGAGGCCGACGAGGCTGGGAGAACCAGCGCAGCCTATTCGGAGCATGCCAAGGACGAGCAGACTCTCAAGGCCAGGAAAGCCGCTGAGAGAGAGCATGACCTGAGCTGGAGAGAGTCTCTTAGGCTCTATCCTAAAGCAATTGCTTTCTCCCTATTATTTTCATCGGCTATCATCATGGAAGGTTACGATCTTGCTCTGATTGGTGGTTTTTATGGTTATACAGCGTGAGTTTTCTGTTCTATCTGCTCTCCATCTCCAGCAGTTCCATTTTCAGTAGTACCATAATATACCAGCACAGACAACAGCTAATGGATCACGCTATTGTAGATTCCAGAACAAGTTCGGCGACCAACCCGGCGACGGCGGTGTCGGCAAGGTCATTTCCGCAGACTGGCAGACCTATATCCAGAACAGTGGAATGTGCGGCCAAATTGTCGGTCTCTACATCAACGGCTACGTCACGGATCATTTTGGCTTCAAGAAGACCATGTTGGGTTCCCAAGTCCTGATGATGGCTCTCATATTTATTCTGTTCTTCGCCCAAAACATCCAGACAATCCTGGCAGGCAACACCCTGTTGGGTATCCCGTGGGGCATCTTCCAGACTTTGTCCATCAATTATGCCTCTGATGTAGCCCCTGTCATTCTGCGGCCGTATCTTACCACGTACGTCATGCCATTATCTCAATACGCCAGAGTCTGACTTCTTGTAGATATGTGAAAATGTGCTGGGTGTTCGGACAGCTGATCAGCGCTGGCGTGCTTCGTGGCTTCCTACATTACCAAGGAGATATGTCTTGGCGTATCCCTTATGCGATCCAATGGGTCTGGCCTCCTCTGATCATGCTCGGAACTCTATTCGCTCCAGAGTCTCCTTGGTGGCTGGTCCGTAGAGGTCGACTTGAGGACGCCAAAAAGAGCGTTCTCAGCTTAAGCTCCTCCAAGGCCGGGGTTGACTTTGACCCCGAGGACTCCGTGGCCCTCATGAAGGCAACTGACGACCTCGAAAAGGAACTTTCCACCAGCACCAGCTATTGGCAGTGCTTCAGAGGGGTTGATCTGCGCCGCACTGAGATTGCCGCTGTCTCGTATTTAGCCCAGGCTTGGTGTGGTACCTCCTTGATGGGCTACTCGGTGCAATTCTACGAGCGTGCTGGTCTGTCTGATGATCACGCCTTTGATCTGAACATCGGTCAGTCCGCTATGGGCATCTTGGGTGTACTAATGTCTTGGGTTCTTTTGGGTAAATTCGGTCGCCGCACCATTTATATGTCAGGCATTTTCCTCTTGCTGCTTATTCTAGTCACCGTCGGTGGCCTAGGATTTGCCGACCCCGACAATGCTGGCCCGTCCTGGGCGATCGGCACCCTTCTTTTGGTATATACTTTTGTATACGACGGCATGGTAGGACCTCTCTGCTATGCTATTGTCGCCGAGGTGCCATCAACTCGTCTCAAGGTGAAGACAGTTGTTTTGGCAAGGAACATATCCAACATTGCTGGTTTTGTCAACAACACACTCATGCCCCGTATGCTGGGTGTCAACTCCTGGAACTGGGGTGCAAAGACGGGTCTCTTCTGGGCCGGATTCTGTTTGGTCATTCTGATCTGGGCATATTTCCGCTTACCAGAAACCAAAGATCGCACTTATGGCGAGCTTGATATCTTATTTCACAACGGTGCCAGCGCCCGCAAATTCTCAAAGGCCCGTGTCGATCAATTCGCTAGCAATGGCGATGCACAGATCAAGCATGAAGGCGACTAAGGCCGCTACGAAGATCAAAGTCGGCAGCAATGCTGTCAGAAGCCTAAGTACTAAACATAAATCACTGGTGGTGGAGTTCAAGGCATGGTGATGGGGTGGAGGTTGAGAAGATGGTTAAGTCTCTGATTCCTGTGTATTCACAGGTAGCTTGTGGCGTAGATTTATCGAATGAAATACCCCATATACTTACAGCAGTAGTCATCCTATCGTTCGAGAGTGAAAGATGGTAGAATGTAAACAGCTACAATATTTGGCCTGAGATGCATGCGTCATTCATAAAGTGTCTACATTGAAGCTGTCAAGAGAACTTCCCCCCAGCCGCAGAGCTCGATAGCTCAATGTATCTGACCGGGAAAGGTATGCAGTGAGACGCTTCTTGTCAGCAAATTAAGAGGCTCGTCTGACTTGAAGCTGGGCTTTTTCGGCGCAATTTGGGCAGAGGCTGCTAGGTAGCATCTACCCTATGAAGTTACTGATTTCGAGCTGAGAGCCCTATATTAGCTGAAGATGAGGCTTCGCCAGCATCGATTGAGCCACAGTTTCATGGTTAGTCAATATGTGAGTCCTTGAAATACTGGGAGCAATACTGCCGGTTGAGGGTCTCGCATGTTTTGGGATAGCAACGGATCCTAATTCCTCCAGAAGCTCCACCATTACCAGTCTCGGCCATGATCCATGGGGCAGACGGAGTTCATGGCGCCTGTGATGCAGGACCCCACAGGTTGACGGGAATAACACACTTGCCGGGGATAAAGTTGTCGGTCCGACAAATATACGAGGTACCAGTACATTGGCCCCATATTTGCACCTGGGCTACCTTACCAGTAGATATCATCCCACTTCTCGTGATCTTCTTTGGTATGTTAGCTACTGGGCTAGTCGTAGGCTGATAGTTCCGGGACACAGCAGCTGTCAAAAATCAAACATCCCGACACAACCTTAGCCCTCCATTTAGTGCCATATTAATGGTCAAATTTGCCTGTCTCGAGAGGAGATTCATGAAGAATGCATGAGCTGTGAGAATACTTGAGGAGATTCATTGACATTCAGACAAAAAAGACCCAACTAGTCAGCTGAGGTCATCCCACTTACGAATCTGAAGCTGTACCTGAATCGCTTCTTGGCTTGTTTGGTAGGAAATGGCCAATTCAAAACTGCCTGATCCTAGATCTCGTTGGCACCCACTTCCAGTCTATCACTTGAAAGCTCTCCAAGGCTGGTTGAATGATCCTTGTGCCCCAGGTTTCGATCCGGCCACTGGCGAATATCACTTATTCTATCAATGTAGGTCTGCCTTTTTAGGTCATGCGCACCCTCTGTCCGGGGCAATGCTAAGACACAAAGTAGGGAATCCGAAATCATGCGATTGGGGTGATATCTGTTGGGGGCACTTTATCAGCCAAGATGGCATGCACTGGCAGCACAACGGCGTCGATCCAGTCCTCAAGCCACAGCTTCCCTATGAGGACATGGGAATCTTTACAGGCTGCATGTATCCAACGGGTCCACATGGAGAGAGTGGTAAACTCACACTCATCTACTCGTCCATCAACCATTTGCCTATCCACTGGACACTACCATATAAACGCGACTGTGCAGGGCTAGCCTTGGCGATATCTGAGGATGCTGGCCGCACTTGGAATAAGAGCAGCGTCAACCCAATTTTGACCGGCGAGCCCGATGGACTGATTGTGACTGGCTTCCGAGACCCCTTTCTGTCAGAATGGCCAGCATTGGACAAGGTACGGGGTAGCAATGAGAAACGGTTGTATGGTATCGTCTCAGGTGGAGTTGTCGGTAAAGGGCCCGCCGCCTTCCTGTACGATGTTTCCCCGGACGACTTGACGACATGGACGTACCTAGGACCTCTAACAGATATCGCCGTGGGTTTCCGTCGACCCAGTCACTGGAACGGGGATTTTGGAGTCAATTGGGAATGCGTTAACTTCATAGCTCTTAGTGACGGGGCTTCTGATCTCAACATTCTGACGATGGGAACTGAGGGTGGTTTAGCAAAAGAATATAGAAAGAAACAACATAAAGAAGGAGAAGAAGTTACTCACGGAACTTGGACACTCTGGATGGGCCTGAGCACCCAAGGTAATGATGGCCATCCAATGACCTTTGACTTTGGCGGCATGTTGGACAACGGGGACTTTTATGCACCAAATTCATACAAGCATCCCAACACCGGTGAACAGATTCTCTGGGGCTGGATCAAGGAGGAAGATCTAGACATCACTCGGCGGGAGCGTAAAGGCTGGACAGGCTACCTGTCACTACCCCGAGAGCTCTTCCTGTCTCGCTTACCTAACATCAGGAGAGCTTTGAAGTCTCCCCTTGAAAGCATATCCTCTATTAAACTACTCGACAGCGGGGATGGAAGGGAGAAAGCTGTGTATACGCTTGGCATTCGACCTCTGCCTATATTTAAGTCTCTACGGCCTAAAACATCGACAACCTGGTCGTCGATTTCGACGCAAACCAGCAAACCTCGCCAGCTCACGAGGACTCAGTCAACAAATTGGGAACTCGAAGCCGTTATCAAAGTTAAGCCAGGCCTACGGCGCATTGGTTTCCACGTACGGCACGACGACAACCTGTTCAACACCACAACGATATGCTTCGTAGTAGAAGATGAGGAGATCTCTGTTGACAAAACATTATCCAATCATGAGGAAGACATTCAAAAGAATAATCTGTCCGGACCATTCACTCTTTTCATATCCGATGAAAATGGAACAGAGACTGTGGAGAAGCTTTATATACGTATATTCAGCGATGGAGATGTTCTTGAGATCTTCGCAAACGATCGATTCGCTCTCTCCACGACGGTATACGCGGATTCGCTGAGTTGCCTCGGCATAAGTTGCTTCATGGAAGGAGACAGGCAGGATCAGGGGCTGTTTGAGACCATAGAGCTTTGGGAGGGATTGCAGAGCGTCATGAAGTAGACTGGAAACGGGATCCTGAGTGGAATAGCTTTAAGATTGTCTGGAACACGGATGGGGAATCAAGTTTTGACTGCAAGTCAATTGGACATAGCATTGAGAGATGAGCAAGCGTGCTGGTGTGTATTGTATTCAATATAGAATGTTGTTATTTACGGCAGGATATAGCTGGCGTAAGAGGTCTAGTTTCTCCCGCAGATATGCCTTCTGCTGTTCACGAATTTGTTCAAATTGGAAAATGAACTTGACAACGAAGATGAAGTCTTCAACATGTGTGCTTGCTTGTTGTATCTCTTCATCGCAACCGAGTGGCAATGCTAGCACATCTGCGATAGTGCTTGTTATCTCAAAGAGTTTTTGGATGATGCCACTGCCTTGAGTGCCGATGCTAGCGATACTGTTCAATCGGCCTACAAGACCTCGGAGCTGAGTTGAAAGTCGCTGTGCCGGGAAATGGAGAGAAAGACCCTCATGCACATTGTTGGGCAGCGAAGACCAGAGGAGACCACGAGACAAGGCTAGTTGCCAGACCAGTATCCGTAACCATAACCGGGTGATGAACAGATCTGTGTGCTGGAGTTCCGTGAGAGACCCACGCCCGGTGCTTTGCAGCTCCTTTTCAGCATCGATGGCACTCGCTTCGTCTTGATCAAGCTGCATCTGCTTATTTTCAATCCACTCAGCTGTGATGTCGACTGAATTCTGCTGCTCGCCTTGCCAATACGCCAGAAGGGGCTCGTCCATGACCAAAAACAGCGCGATGAGACGATTGAACCCAAGTTCCGCATTTGCTGGTATCGAGGGATCGGAGGTGGGAAATCCGGACGGGAGAGGACGGAGAATGCTCGGATATCCCGCCGCAATTGATAGAAAACGCTCATGAATGTATGCCTCCCAGTAAAGTCTCTGATACCTACTGGCATCCAGGCTCGACTTCGCATGCTTATCGATCTGGAAAATTTGAATCATGGTGATAGCCTCGCGCAAAAGACAGAAGCTGCGACTGAATCGCCGGAATGCCATCATGGAGACCTCCAGAAAAATGCAAGTCATGATCCGTTTGATGGATACCTGTGGCTCTTCGACCATGTGGCCATCCGGCCCGACTCGCAAGTCTGCGAGTCTATGTGCGTCGAGGCTTTTCAGCATCAGCTCGTCCATCCGCATCATGTTGATGTCATGCGTGTCATCCCAGCGTTGCGCAAGAAATATAGTGACTGAAGCAAACGCATAAACAAGGGCCTGGTCTTCCAGGCTGTGCTCCATGTTGTCAATTGTTGATGATATGTCAGAGGGAGCAAGAACCGGGTTGAAAGGATAAACAATTTCTTCATATTGAGGTAACAGATGAGTGAAAAACTCTCTATTGTAGTCATGAGATGCTGTAGAGAGTTTCGATGGAGATTTAGCCACGGTGGCAACGCCGACAGTATGCTGGTGATCAGGCAGAACGGACTGCGCGCCCCCGAACTCTGTTGACCACCCGTAGATTTGCTCGGCGCCTCCGCGGGCTTGTGCCACCAGTCTACCGCGTATCGGATTCTTCCGCTTCGTCATCGCTGGCGAGACAACACAAGGCAGATTGAAGTGGGTGCATTGTGAACACGGATCAGTGTTGTCGCATTTTACTTTACGTATACGACAGCTGTCGCAAGCTCGTGGCGCCTTGCGATGCGCCTTCATCTTCCTGGTGTATCACTGATGCACACTATCATCCGGACAGTAGGCAGCAATCTGCCCATCCCCTTGTTTCGACCGAATGATTCGCAGGTCATAGCCTGAATAAGGCGATGTCGAAATAAGGGAGGCAGTAGGACCAATGGAGAAGCTTGGGCCATTGGCCGGTCATGCTGTTGGTTGAGGTTTTCTATTATATAAGCAGTCATGTGATGCGGGGCCTGCCTACTATTTCGCACGTGGTCAAAAAGGAAAGCTTTCCCTCTACAACCCAGTCCGGCGTGCTCATATGAATCAGATCAACGCCTGAGTACCCAAGATACATTACAAAATGGATACATTCTACTACATCATCCTTGCATTGATTGCTGT